TATTTTGTATAACCACCCTTTGTTATTTTAAATGTTAGGACGAACCTGAAATTTGAACAATTTTCTTTTATACATATTTAATACATTCAAATCTGGGACANAATTCTAGGTTTAGGTTTCTCTTCATAGAGTTCTAGGTTTAGGTTTCTCTTCATAGAGTTCTAGGTTTAGGTTTCTCTTCATAGAACTCTAGATTTAGGTTTATCTTCATAGTGTTCTAGATTTAGGTGTATCTACATACAGTTCCAGGTTTAGGTTTCTATTCATAGAGTTCTAGGTTTAGATTTCTATTCATAGAGTTCTAGGTTTAGGTTTATCTACATAGAGTTCTAGGTTTAGGATTCTCTTCAAAGAGTTCTAGGTTTAGGAACCTGGATTTTAGAAAACCCAGAAGAATTTGCATTTTTTTGTTTCTTTAACAATATTGGTACGTTACCTGAAGTTAATGGAGAGATTTTCTAATATTCGACATAGTTTACACCAATAGTTTACACCAATAGTTTACACCAATAGTTTACACCAATAGTTTACACCAATAGTTTACACCAATAGTTTTACACCAAAAGTTTTACACCAATTGGAAAAGTCGGACGACAAAAACTTATTTTAACTACCCCTTTCAAATTAAAAAATTTATACGTGAGCACACGAGTCTTTTTTATTCAATTAAAAGTGCCGAATACCTTTAGCCCCTGTTTTGTTTGGGTCACCCTGTATTTTCAGACAATTTAGATTGTTGATATAAATCTAAATCCTAACATCTCCTTCTTGTTCAGAAAAATTGCCGTGTATAAGATCAAATAAAAATTCAGCGGAATCAACAGTTTGAACCCTTTGGGGCTCCAGTACATACACACCTCGTACATACGGTATACATACACACTTTGTACCAGATTTGTTTTTATAATAAAATATAGATAAACTTTCTAAATTTATTCTTCATTTTACACATTAATATTTTATGTTTTTAAAAAGCCACGGTCTTGTTTTATTGTTCAAATTTTAAGAATTTCATTATTTATACATTACACAGCTAAAAATTCTAGAATTAGAATAAAGGAATTAAATTTCCCTTTTTCCATGAAAATATTTGAATGTAATTTTATTCATAACAATCATGCTTACTAAACACCTCTTAAAGAGAATGAACTCAGGAGACGTAATTTCAACTGACCCTCCACCGCTGGATTGGCGTATTTTCAATTCGTAACCAGGGGCGGATACAAGATTTAAGTTAGGGTAACGAGGGACGGATACAGGATTAAACTTAGGGGGGTGATAGATTTATTTTGGAACAAAAAAATCAGACTTAGGAACCAAAAGACGCAGTGCAGGCGAAATTTTTTTTAAGATAGTTATTTTTTGCACTAGGTTTTCTTTCCGTTAAGTGCTAATGAGAAGCTATTCTGAAGTCTCAGGGGGGGATACAACCCCCCCCCTGAATCCGTCAGGGGGGGGTGCAGAGGTCCTACCGCCCCCCTGTATCCGCCCCTGTTCATAACGGTTCCCTGTAAACCTTTGTATGGCCATTGACGACGGAGAAATCCTATATATTTGGCGCTAAAAATGGTGTGCAAATTATGTCTACATAAATATATCGGAACCGGGGTGTTCAGTGAGAACTCAAAGCAAATAACTTTGCATGATTTCAGGAAATCCAGAATAATCTTGTTGAAACTTAACCGGGGCGTCGGTAACTAGGTGATTAGTTGATTGGTTGATTAGGTGATTAGTTGATTGATGGTTGATGGCTCCTCTACTCCTTAACGCATAGTTTCAATAAATGAATTTATTATAAACCTATAAAATACAGTTTTAGTGGAAATAAATATTAATATGATATTGTTCACTGTTTAATAAAATAAATATTGGTGTAACATTGTTCACTGTTTAATAAAATAAATATTGGTGTAACATTGTTCACTGTTTGATAAAATAAACTTACTAATTGGGTGTGTTAGTGGGTAATTAAGGAGTGATGGGTGATGGGTCAGTTTAAAGAAAGAAACTGCATGGCTTGTTTAAGTAAAATTGCTATAGATTGCAGGGTTATTGACGGATTGTAAGTACTCACTAGTTAAAACGTTTCACTTGATCAATGTTCCTTTGTCGGAGTACAGAGGTAGTGTCGGAAAAATTGTTTGGTTTGGAGGAGGGTGGAAAGACGACTTTACGCGGTATAAAGACTTATGGGCAACAAATCTATATTTAACCCGGTTTAAAAATTCGAATGCACATTGAGGGTAACTTGGTGTAACGCTTCTAACATCCATTTAAATTAAGTGTAAGCGTAATGAAAAGTTATACTGAACTAACGAATCTTACTAGAAAATGAATTCAGAAAAAAAAGATATTTTAACTTCGATCAAAGATGTATTTGCAACAAAGATGAAAACTGAAATAATTGACTCTTTTCCATTCTATGCGCTTCTGTGTTAGATGCTTAAGGTGTTTAAAATCTTTTTAATAAAAGAGTGATATAAAAAACCTCTAGTCCAAAGTACAAAAACCTCTAGTCCAAAGTATAAAAAAACCTCTAGTCCAAAGTATAAAAAAACCTCTAGTCCAAAGTATAAAAAAAACCTCTAGTCCAAAGTATAAAAAAACCTCTAGTCCAAAGTACAAAAACCTCTAGTCCAAAGTATAAAAAAACCTCTAGTCCAAAGTACAAAAACCTCTAGTCCAAAGTACAAAAACCTCTAGTCCAAAGTACAAAAACCTCTAGTCCAAAGTACAAAAACCTCTAGTCCAAAGTACAAAAATCTCTAGTCCAAAGTACAAAAACCTCTAGTCCAAAGTATAAAAAAAACCTCTAGTCCAAAGTATAAAAAAACCTCTAGTCCAAAGTACAAAAACAAAAGAAATACAGTTTTAGAAGTGACAAAGTTCCCTCTAGCTCCTCTTAGACAGAACTTTAGTGTAACCTTGAGAATTGTAAAAGAAGAAAGAGTTTTCTTAGTTTTCTTTATTGTGTTCATCAAAACCAAATTAATCAACATTGAGTAATTTATCCAATCACAGGGTGGGGGAATTGTTAATAGAGACAGGAGGGGGGGGATATATTATACTTAGAGAGTCAGGGGTGATATACTATTCTTGGTGACAGGAGTATATGTATATTATACTTAGAGAGTCAGGGGTTATAATATACTGGGAGGGACAGGGGGATTTAATACACTTTTGGGGATAAAATATACTGGGAGGGACAGGGGAATAAAATACACTATTAGGGACATAATATACTTAGTGTTACAGGGGGATATAATATACTTGGAAGGATATAATATTCTTATGAAGACAGGGGGATATAATAAACTTGGAAGGACATAATATACTAAGGGTGACAGGGGGATATGATATACTTAAGGCGATAGGGGATATATAATATACTTGGAGGGACATAATATGCTAAGGGTGACAGGTTGGATATAATATACTTAAGGCGACAGGGGATATATAATATACTTGGAGGGACATAATATCTAAGGGTGACAGGTTGGATATAATATACTTAAGGCGACAGGGGATATATAATATACTTGGAGGGACATAATATGCTAAGGGTGACAGGGGGATATAATATTCTTTAGGGCGACAGGGGGATATAATATACTTGTAGGGATATAACACACTTATAAAATGGGCAAACTGGGAGGGAATAAAAAATAATGATTTGCCTACTTTTTTCTCAGGTTCAATTAGTGATTGTGAACTTTTAATTTTTGTTCTTTAGATTTGAATGTATAAGATTATAACAAGATCATAGAAGTATCACAAAAAGTTATAGCTTCTAAACTAGAATAAATGATAAATAATAAACAATAAATAATAAACAATAAAGAAGCAGTATTTCTGGTATTTCTGATTCAACCTTGTCAATTATATTGAAGAACAAAAAGTTTTCCATAAGGAATCAGTCACAACTAGAACTTGCAATGATATATATATATAACTTTCAGACCATTGATATTAGAAATATTTTTTCATTTTATAATTAGGGTTTTCTTTGATATTATGACCTTTTACAATTAATAATTTGGGGTTTCTGTGATATTATGACCTTTTTGTTATAAATCGGGTTTTCTTTGATATTATGACCTTTTTTATGTTATAAATCGGGTTTTCTCTGATACTAAGACCATTTTTTATGTTATAAATCGGGTTTTCTTTGATATTATGACCTTTTTTATATTATAAATCGGGTTTTCTTAGATATTATGACCCTTCTTATGTTATAAATTGGGGTTTTCTGTGCCATTATTACCTTTTTTATGTTATAAATAGCATTTTCTGTGAATTATGACCTTTTTTTATGTTATAAATCGGGCTTTCTTAGATATTATGACCTTTTTTATGTTATAAATCGGGTTTTCTTTGATATTATGACCTTTTTTATGTTATAAATTGAGTTTTCTTTGATATTATGACTTTTTTTATGTTATAAATCGGGTTTTCTGTGATATGTTGACCTTTTTTTATGTTATAAATCGGGTTTTCTGTGATATAAAGACCTTTTTTATGATGTAAATCGGGTTTTCTGTGTTATTATGACTTTTTTATGTTATAAATCGGGTTTTCTGTGATGACCTTTTTTATGTTATAAATCGGGTTTTCTGTGATACTATAACCTTTTTTATGTTAGAAATCAGGTTTTCTGTGATATTATGACCTTTTTTTTGTTATAAATCGGGTTTTCTTTGATACCATGACCTTTTCTTATGTTATAAATCGGGTTTTCTTTGATACCATGACCTTTTCTTATGTTATAAATCGGGTTTTCTGTGATATTATGACCTTTTTTATTTTATAAATCGGGTTTTCTTTGATACTATGACCTTTTCTTTGTTATAAATCGGGTTTTCTGTGACATTATTACCTTTTTTATTTTTTAATTAGTGGTTTTTATGTTTATGATATTTTTTATTTCATAATAAGGCTTTTCTTTAATATTATGAGTTATGACCTCTTCTCATTTTATAATCAGGGTTTCTTTAAGACAAAATGGAAATAAGAAATGTTTACTTACAAAGCTCTGATAAAAAAATGAGCAACTACTAACGAAAAATTCGCTGAAATATGAAGAGCATTGAAAGAAGCTAGTATTTAAACAGTTGATGTATGGAAACAGCAATTTCTATAAACAGTAAGTGATTTGTGAAACAGCAAAAAAATTCTGTAAATAAAGATAAAATAAAAAAGCTGCCAGATCTATGAACAGCTAAAATACCAAAAAGCAGCTTGATCTATAAACAGGAAGGTTATCAAAGAGCAGCTAGATCTAAAAACAGCAAGGATATCAAAGAGGAGCTAGATCTATAAACAGGAAGAATATCCAAGAGCAGCTAGATATATAAACAGGAAGGATATCTAAGAGCAGCTAGATCTATTAACAGGAAGGATATTCAAGAGCAGCTAGATCTATAAACAGGAAGGATATCCAAGAGCAGCTAGATCTATGAACAGCAAATATACCAAAGAGCACTTAGATCTATAAACAGTAAGGTTATCCAAGAGAAGTAACTCTATAAACAGGAAGGATATCCAAGAGCAGTAAAATCTATAAACAGGAAGGATATCCAAGAGCAGTAAGATCTATAAACAGGAAGGATATCCAAGAGCAGCTAAATCTATTAACAGGAAGGATATCCAAGAGCAGTAAGATCTATGAAGAATGCAGGATGATGTTGGAAAGTATAAAAGCTATGAAGAATACCTGGATTCTCTTCTCAAGGCTGAAGATAAAATGTAAGTTATCATCATTACTTCGGAAAACGAAAAAGCATTATTTTGGATAAATGGAAAAAAGGAATAATAAAAATATTATTAAATAATTTTTAGTTACATGGATCAAGAGATGGGAAGAATGATTGCAGAATTGGGATACAGGTAAAACAGAATGTTTAAAATAGTTAAATCAATCTAATTTTTTTCAACTTGGGCCACCAAAAAAAACCTCGATTTCAGGTCGTCAGGAGAAACACTTACGAGGGAAAAATTTGCACAAATCCGGGAACAGATTCAGATGGATAAAAGAATGCGGGAAAAGAAAAATGAGAAAACTGAAATCCAAGATGGCGGCGAGGAGGAGGATCCTATAGTTCAAAGTGTCAGGTGTTTAAAAGTCAAACCATCTTGTTTAAAGGGATTTAAAGAAAGGAATTGAGTCTTTGCCACAAATTCAGTTTTTGTAAAACCTATATCTCTGTAACCTGATGGTGTAAACCTTTGATATTTCAAACTTACATTATTTGATCTAATAGCATTCATAGTTTGAAATATTAAAGGTCTACGACATTGGGTTGCAACGATATTGAAATTAGAAAATCAGAGTTTGTTACAAAAACTCAATTCCTTTCAGAGTAATTTCCAATTAAAATTATCTTAACATATCGCTGATTAATTTCCTTAATTAAGGAAACCTTTCCTAGTTAGATGTAAAGTAAAAAATGGCTGTCTGCAGAGTTGTGATAAACGGATAAATTAGGTATATTTGTTAATTTGTTAGTTTTTAGAGAGAGATATGCTTCTAACAAGGAGGGGACTCTGAACACAATTCTGTATCTACAAATTGAAACTGAGAAAGGAGCAGTGGTGTCCGGCCATATTGATATCAGGTATGTATTCATCTTGTAACAGAAAATCAGGAATTTTTTGCCGCAATCAAATCTAAGAATCATCCTTGGTTTGTTCGATTCACAGTACCCGCAAAATCTTTAAGTCTCTTTTCTTTGAAATTGATTATTTCATTTGGGGTTTTTCTAAAAACTGACTTGCGCGTTTTTGCTTCAAAATCAGTATGTAGGAAACTAGAAAAACTAAGATTTTTTCTATATTGATTATCAGATAAATGTTTAAAAAATGGTATAGTATAAATCGGGCATGCACCTTTAAGTGAAAGTTCTTTTGAAATTACACTAACAGTACCTTTAATGCATGACTTAACTTGTGATAACAGGGTTTAATTGTAATGAATATTGTGTAACACTTTATCTCTAAACCTGAATTACGCAGGACATTATTAATTATCTATGTTTGTAAATAGCTACGTAAAACCATATATTGATTTACCTTAACTGCGCTGTAAATAACTATGTAACATGATTAGCTTTACTACGTTGTATACATATATATATATATATATATTGATTTAAAACTTGTAATTACGTCGATTAATGTTATGTTCTAACATATAACCCCAAATACATTTAGTTGGAATAGACTCCACTTAGATTATAGTGAGAGAAGTAATTGTTCCTCATTTAGCATACAAGTTGATGATATCGTGACCGTGTTTGACATTGATAGTTTACAAGCTTGTGTCCGTGTTGGCATTGATAGCTGACGAGATCATGCCATTGCCCATATTTGGCATTGATAGTTTACAAGCTTGTGTCCCTGTTGACATTGATAGCTGACGAGATTGTGCCCATGTTTGGCATTGATAGTTTACAAGCTTGTGTCCCTGTTGACATTGATAGCTGACGAGATTGTGCCCATATTTGGCATTGATAGTTTACAAGCTTGTATCCCTGTTGACATTGAAAGCAGACGAGATCGTGTCCGTGTTTGGCATTGATAGTTTACAAGGTTGTGTCCGTGTCGACATTATTAGCTGATGAGATCGTGCCTGTTTTTGACATTGATAGTTAAGAGTTGTACCTGGATTGATACGGGTCTGAAAGCAGTTTTATGAGTAAGGCATTTACTACATAATGAGAAGGTTAACAAATAAATAGATATTTATTGTTTATTTACCTACATCATATTAAATTCTAAAATGAATTCTTGCTCTAGAAAGTTAATTTAATATTAAACTTAAATGAATACAAAGTGAAATATAATATACAAAAAAACACAATTTGAAAATTGAAGGAATTTAGAGAATTTAGATGGGGGGGGGGGTTGAAGTAGTCAAAAAATGCAAATTGTAAAGTTTATTTAAACAAATTTTTATATTTTACAGTAGTAATAGATTTGTTTGTTACAATTTTACAGTTTTATATCAATTTCTCGAGACAGGAACATCAGATAGATGTCTTATAGGTATCTTTCAACGCCTGAGATTCGCAGGTTTCATCCTATACCCCCTTTCATTTTTCCTGTACAATCCCTTTCAACAAGGGAAAATATAAAACCCGCAGCCCGGGGANAACTCTGAAAAAGCAAAATAAATATAAAAAAAAATAAACTAAATATTTTTTTATCTTAATCTATTAATATTTTATGATTCCCGTTTATTTTCTATCTGTAAAGTTGAAAATATTGTTAAAGAAATTGAGTCTTTGCCACAAACTCAAGTTTTTTAATCCCTTTATTTTTGAAACCAGGTTGTGTAAACAGTTGATATTTCAAACTTAGATTACAATATCTAACAGAATTTACAATTTGTAATATTTAAGATCTACGACACTGGGTTGCAAAGATATTGGGATTTGAAAATCAGAGTATTTGCAAAGGCTCAATTCCTTGCAGGGAGAGGATTGCTCAGGAGAATTTTCTTCCCTATCTAACAGGAGAGAAAACTTTGACACCCCAAAGGCAACAGAATCATACAAATATTGTTTTTACAGGGTGTCTCATATTTAATTTTCAATTCCAGCTTGTGTTTCAATTTTTGATTCAGTTTAAACGTTATGTCATGCAATAATTTCAATTAATTATTACGAAATTCCGTTCAACAACAAAAAAACTCAATTTAAACTTTGGTAGTGGCATACAATAAACTGAACTTCACTAACATTTCAATCTCAAATGCTAGGAAAATTAATTTTAAATTTAAACTTTTATTTTAAAATACTCATATGTAGCCTGATAACCAGAAAACTCTGGCATAGGAAGACGACATTTAGACCCATTTAACTGAATAAGTGAGTTAACAAGATACTAATTAAAATTTGTTGCTTTGTAACGACATCAAATACACTGTGATGTGTCTTTCAGTACCGTAGTTTTCTGGTTTTCACTGTAGCAAAATATCTAATTTTGAATAAACCATTCCAATGTAAACAAATAAAAAATGCATGAGAATTCTATGATATTTTCATTCTTATACAGGGTGTCCCAATAAACATGGGAATTCAGTGACGAATTCAATATCGTCTTTGTTATGAATTAGCATTATAATACCTTATTTCAAAGCCATAATATCATTATGTCTGCTTGAGTTTATTTTATGAAAACGGTAAATGGCTGTAAAGATGTGTATACTAAATCAAAGAATTATTTAAAAAGACGATATTGAATTCTTCACTGAATTCCCATGTTTATTAAGACACCCTGTATCTGCTGCTTAAATTTGTAAGTCACAGTTAAAATTATTGATTTTAAGATGGAAAACAATACCGTTGCATGCGATTCCGCGAGTATTTAATTACTTCCTTGTTCGCAATTATAGCGCAATTCCGCGCAATGAAATTGCACAAGCGGAAGCAATTAAAGCGCGCAATTCCGCGCAACGAAATTCTGACTGGAAACCCTTAGAACAGGTTTGTTCGGTTTTTCAAAAATAGGGCTTCATTAATTTATAATTTCTTTTAAATTGGTTACTTAATACAAATTTTAATATTGTAATCATTTCATTCCTCCGACCTGATCCCGCAGACATGTTCTGCAAGATCAAATATTTAATCAAATCTACGGATTACACCATCAGTTTCCAAAAATAAAAAGAAAGATTAAAGTTTGAGGCGTGAAATTAAAGTACTTAGTATGTTCTGCATATAATATAGTGAAGATCTAACCTACGCAAATCTGAGCAGAGGAAAGGGGAAATTTACTTCTACTCCACAATGGCAGGTAGATACAGGGTAATACACAATCAACATTTTCCTGAATGCAAACTGCACATAGCTTGGGCTTTAGATGAAGTGCTAAAAGTTTTTCAGGGTTCACGTTTAGATTGGAATATTGAACTGTTCCCAAAACAAAGTGAAAATAATTTCCAAAGAATTAACATTATAAAACCCTTTTCTTCTTTAAAAACATTGACTTAATCCTTTTTTCAGGTGATTTCTGAGAATAGAACTCTGGCGTTTAAATCTAGTAATGGGTTGGACCTGGTCTATGCTATACCTAATATATCCAGGTATAGTTTATATCTAGTAATGGGTTGGACCTGGTCTATGCTATACCTAATATATCCAGGTATATAGTTTATATCTAGTAATGGGTTGGACCTGGTCTATTATATGCCTAATATATCCAGGTATATAGTTTAAATCTAGTAATGGAATGAACCTGGTCTATGCTATGCCTAATTTATCCAGGTATATAGTTTAAATCTAGTAATGGGTTGGACCCTGGGGTCAATGTAATTTCCAAAAAAGCTGATTTTCTCGATCCCAAAATAATTTTTTGCCCCCAATTTTGAAAAAAATGCCCCCAATTTTTAGAAAAAATGCCCCAGTTAAATTTTTTTTTTTCAAATTCCACTAACACATTTACCCCATTGCCCCCAATTTGAAAAAAATGCCCCCAATTTTTTAAAAAAATACCCTAAAAAAATGCCCCCAATTTTATTTTTAATTATCATAAAAAAAAATTTGCCCCCAATTAAAGAATTTGCCCCCATTTCTTTCAAATTTGTCATTCCCAAATGGGATTGAAAAAGGAATTATTTTGACCCCTGGTTGGACCTGGTCTATGCTATGCCTAGTATATCCAGGTATAGTTTAAATCTAGTAATGGGTTGGACCTAGTCTATGCTATACCTAATATAGCCAGGTATAGTTTAAATCTAGTAGTAGGTTGGACCTGGTCTATGCTATACCGAATATCTCCAGGTATGTTTAAATCTAGTAGTAGGTTGGACCTGGTCTATGCTATACCTAATATCTCCAGGTATAGTTTCTAGCTATCTTCTTACATAATAAAGGAAGACATTCGTATTTAAGTTCACTATAGCCAATAATTCTCTGGTTTATGTGGTTTCTCCTCTAAGAAAAATACTCTCTGGTTTATGAAGTTTTTCCTGTAAGAATAGTACTTTCTAGTTTATGTAGTTCCTCCTACCTCCTAAGAGAAATATACCCTGGTTTTTGTAGTTTCTCCTCTAAGAATAATACTCTCTGGTTTATAAAGTTTCTCCTATCAGCATTATACTCTCTGGTTTATGAAGTTTCTCCTATAAGAATAATACTCTCTGGTTTATGAAGTTTCTCCTATAAGAATAATACTCTCTGGTTTATAAAGTTTCTTCTATAAGAATAATAATCTTTGGTTTATGAAGTTTATCCTATAAGAATATTACTCTCTAGTTTATGAATTTTCTTCTCGAAGAATAATACTTTCTGGTTTATGAAGTTTCTCCTATAAGAATAATACTCACTGGTTTATGTAGTTTCTCCTCTAAGAATAATACTCTCTAGTTTATGAAGTTTCTCCTATAAGAATAATACCCTCTAGTTTATGAAGTTTCTTCACTAAGAATAATAATCTCTGGTTTTTGAAGTTTCTTCTCTAAGAATAATAATCTCTGGTTTATGTAGTTCCTCCTCAAAGAATAATACTCTCTGGTTTATGAAGTTTCTCCTCTAAGAATAATAATCTCTGGTTTATGTAGTTCCTCCTCTAAGAATAATACTCTCTGGTATATGAAGTTTCTCCTCTAGGAATAATATTCTTTGGGTTATTGTGGTATCTGGGAACCACAAATACGTGCAATAAATGGTATTTAAAATCTACACTTAATAAGATTTATACAAGTACTTAAACCTGTTTATATCTATCATGTGTGTAACCTGTTGACTTTGCAGATCGGGTTAGTCCTATTCCGCGGGCCTAACTCCTCATGCGCTGTCATATATATTTGTAACCTGGCATTACAATACTTCAGCTATCTCCATATATCGAGATAGCTTCACTGAATTCCCATGTTTTTTGGGACACCCTGTAGTTCTCAGTCCTTCAATCAACTTCATATCCTTATTATTGCAGGTGTGCTGGTCAACCTGCTCCTGTGATATCTGGAGCAGATCCCAAACCTGATTGGACAACCTGTCCCTGACCTCCATCATCGTTGGGTCAGGGTGCAGCCTGTACTCCTGCTCTATAGCCTTCCCTGTGTCCCATACATTGACGTTGGGGACAACAGTAGGCTGCTGTGAGCTAGTGTCCCTAAGGGACATTATGCTCTCTAGCTCCTGGTCCAATCCTTGTAAGCCCTGGGTCACTTCTCTATTAAGCTCCACTAGCTCTTCGAGGACATCCTGCATTATCTTGGGCAGATCTTCCTCATCAGGATCTTCATCTCCATCCTCTACAACCTCCTCAGCTACATCTTCATCCTCTGAAGCGGGAACAGTGACAATTGGAGTGTTTTCACTTGTAAGAGGAGCAAGGTCTGCTGGATCAACATCTTCATCCGACTCTAGTTCCTCGATATAGGCAGGGTTCCGCACTATGACTGGAACGCGGTTCATCGTCTTCTTCTTCTTCTCTCGTTCAGAAAGGTTCTCTCTGTAAGCTGTCTGTGCACGGTATGTAGCACAGGTCCCTGGACGGCTATGTGCAGTGCGACTTGTGTCTACGCTGCAGCGGTCCGGGATGTACTGACTCATCTGGCTTCCTGTTGGATTCAAGGGACTGTTCACTCATATACCAAACAATCCGGAATACAACATTATGTAGTTACTTCTCTACGAATAATATTCTCTGGTTTATGTAGTTTCTTCTCTAAGAATAATATTCTCCGGTTTATGAAGTTCCTCCTCTAAGAATAATAATCTCTGGTTTATGAAGTTCCTCCTCTAAGAATAATAATCTCTGGTTTATCTAGATTCTCCTCTGGCTGTTAATCTATGCATACAACTGTACATCATTTACAAAATACCCTTTACTAATCTAAAGTTCTGATTAAAAAATCAGGAAATATATTAAGATAAAGAAATCTTATCTTGTTCAGACACCATTATATTATCTTCTTGTCACGACATTAATTATGAACAAAGTTAATTTTTAATGATGAAGTCGTTTAAAGTGACTTCATTTATGGAGTGGCATTTCATAATATCTGATATCTTCGTCAATTTTGAAGATACAAGAAAGGTAGATCACTTTATGAAAAGCTTGTCAGACGTTTATTTCTTTGCATCAAATATCAGAAATCAAAGACGACATTCAAGTCGTCTCTCAATTCCCATGTTTATTGGGACACTCTGCATATCATTAATTGTGGTTTCCCAATAATTTAGTGTCCTGCAGTTCCTGGCTCAGAAACAATGGAAGACATTGTGAAAATCAAACACTTTTCAACCTAGCAAACTGAAAAACAACAATATCAATATTGATTAGATAAATGTATAAATACTAAATAGATATACCGTTGCCCCTCTTTTATATAGAAGGCCACAACACTAGTCCCTTTAAGGTTTTAAGGAAATCGTTGTGAATAGTCAACATCACTTAACATAACGTTAGTTAGCCCTTCCATAGATTATCATCTGAATACTAGAATACTAAAGGGTTAACCACAAAATATCAGACTTCAGAGACGACTGTACGTATTTTATACCGTCTCGTTTCTTATATTTATAATTCCCTGCAATTGTAAACTTATTCATTCCTTGCAAAATCATTTAATAAGCCATTAAAATTCTACATCAAGGGCAACATACTTATTTTAACCTTGGGATCGCCTTATTTTAACCTTGGGATCGTCTTATTTTAAGGATTTTTGGTCATCTTTACAGTCTCATCCTTTGTGGGTAACCCTGTATATAATCTCACAAGGATCATGTCAAGGGTCGTAGGTTCTAGTTAAAGAATATTTTAGGGGTTAACAATTCACTGATGTTCAACAGAATTTCAGAAAATATTTATTTTTTAATATTGAACCAAAATTTAAGAATTCTATTAATGAAAAATAATTGGTCCCCACTGAGAGGGAGGGGTGTGTGTGAAATTAACATCCCTACAGCATTATTTTTATCCGATCATGAATAATGAATGAAAGAAAATATATTCTAGGAGAGAGAAAGAGAAGGAGTTGAGTCAGCAATGGACGGAAATTGATACAAAGAATAAGAATGTTAAAGCTAAATTATTTGACCTGTATCTATGAAAAGTGAATACATGTCTATTCTATATTTTTGTCAGGAAAAGTTAACTTAAAGGGACTGTGTGCGTAAAATCAAGTGACTACATACAAAGATGGCAATGCTCAATTCACAGCGTTTCCATTTAAAACTTTGTCTGACTAGGTTATCTTCCTCAGGTTTCAAGGCCGGGGAAAGGTAAAGGTTATAAATCGAGTATTGCCATCGTCGCATGCACGGAGGTATCATTGAATTTATGTAATAGTCCCTTTAAGCAACTGATAAATTTAAAGATCAATCAACTGATTATTTCTTGTAAAAAACGCATAAATTTCAGGAATTTCATCAAAATTACTACCTAGCCTAGCATGAATCAACGCTACAGGGTGTCCCAATCAAAATGGGAATTAAGTTACGAAATACTCTTCGTCAAGAATTGGCGTTGCTTACCTAATTTCATTGGTTATATAAAGTTAGGACTCTCTAATCACAAATAACCTTTTACATTGTACAATGTGCATTGTACAATGTACATAGACAAATATCTGATTGCAGCAAAACAAGAATTTTTCTTAAAAAACTTAATTTTCTATTTTATACAGATTCCGGACATTCTAGTTCCACCAAAATGAAATACCTGAAACAAAAGTAATGTCAGCCAACATTTTTTTTGTCAGATTTCATAGCGATTCAAATAACATCAGAAAATAAAGCTAATTTCATTTCAATTTAAAACACTGATTGATTAAAAACAAAAGTATATTTCTTTATGATATAGACTAGATATTAAAAATTAAACAAGGTGTACATTTGATCACAGTAAAATGGTTTATTTAAAAAATTGGATATATTTCATATTTCGATTAAATAACCATGCTTTGACTTTTAGAAAACTATTTGAGGATATTCTAATAGCCAGCATTTTGTTTAAGCTGAAAGGAAAAATGTGGAAGAGGTGATTAAGTTTTTTGAAAACTTGAAGTAAGTAAACAAAATCAATGGAACTTTAAACTTCGTTTTTCTTTATTTGAAATATTTTTAATTCATCTTTTTCATCATAAGGTTTATTTCAGCATAACATTTTTCAAAATAAGGGGGAGGGGACGAAGTTAAAACGAGTTTGAAGGGGAATTCGTTTTTAATTTAATTAAAGTTTTTAAATTATGATCGGTTGAAATAATTTAAAATGGAATTTTTTTCTTTGGATTTTGTGGCAGACCCTTTTTTAGCGTTTTTCGAGGATTTAGTTTGCGGAGTAGTTTTCTTCGGTTTTACAGCTGATGCTGAATCAGATAACAACTCTTTTCTAATATCTTCTGGTAGCTGAGCGAAGACTTCGGGATCCAATCCCTTCGGACACACGGGGATCTCTAGCATTGGTTTAGATATAGACTCCGGGGAGAGCTTGGAGCTATTTGGTTCAGATCTAGACTCCGGGGAGAGCTTGGAGCTATTTGGGTCAGATCTAGACTCCGGGGATAGATTGGAGCCATTTAGTTTAGATTTGTACTCCGGAGAGAGCTTGGAGCAATTTGGTTTAGATTTAGACTCCGTAGATATTTTTGATCCTTTCCCCATTAATACTTTATCAGTGGTGTAAGTGTTCCTTATTAATTCCTGTTTAAGATCTTCAGGAAGGTTTTTCCAGACCTCTGGGTCGTACTCTGGAGGGCAGGTTGAGCAAGAAATAGGAGCAGAGGTTGATGGGACGGGTTTAGGTTCTCCAGGTCCTGGATTAACCAACAGGTTTGCATTTGTATCTTTGACCATAATCTCAACTTTAGATTTTTTAGAAAAATCCTCCTCGGACGATTGTTTTCGTTTCTGCGCCCTTTCTTCAGAATCATCAGAGAACAAGTTTTTCTTTGGTTTGCTCAGCTCAGTGGGAACACTTTGAGGAATTCCATCCTTTTTAGGACTTATGAAGAAGTTTTTAATGGACCCCTTCTTCTCGACCTGGTCCACGAAGTCCGTGACAGCAATGCCCAGGAGGGTGATGTGAAAGCTGTCGGAGTAATCGATCATCTTCCCCAGGAGAACCAGAAACTGGTCGACTAGAGATGTTTCAGAATCAGGTTTAATAGAACCATTCTCAAACTGGAATAGTCTGGGACTTACTCTGAAAAAAAAGAAAACCATTTACTAGAGGGTGACCCACAAAAAATTAGACTTTAATGACGACCTGCAACTCTTTAGATAATAAATATGACAATCTAAAGTCTCATCGTTTGTGGGTGACCCTGTACGTAACAAAATCAAGACTTTATTTCCGTTTTTACTAATTATCAACTCATGACGGGCGTCTGACAAAGTGTAAAATTGTTTTTAAAGGTTTAAAGCTTTTGCGAAGCCCTTTTTCAACGAGAAAAGATAGCTCTCAAACTTTGCTAATTTGTGCACAATCTCTTTATTAAAGGGAGTGACTGGCTATGTAAGGTAGTTGTATTGAGTATGCAGTGTTGTGGTAAACTTCTTTCGGATTCATTTGAGACATATACAACTTTTTGAAGATCTGTAAATCCTGAGTTTGAGCGCAAATTCGACGTTCAAAACTCCTACTTTGGGGTTGAATACGTTTTCAGAATACGTTTTTTAAAATTATTTTCAACGAGAAATGATAGCTCTCAAACTTTGCTAATTTGTGCACAATCTCTTTATTAAATCATAACTTACTTTGTCTGTCGGCTCTCTTTGTGGAACTTCTTTACAAGTTTGTCCTTGTAATAATCCCTGACCGTAATCTGTAAAATGATTTAATTTGTTTCCTTTAAACACAGGAGTTATATTAAAAGTATTGATTTTGAATATTCACTTGGCGTTGTTTATTTTAATATTTAGTGGGTTCTGTTCTTAATGCAGAATGTATAGAGGTTTAAATTTTTAAGAATGATTCTCTAGAAATAAAAACATTAAAAATTAAATATAAAAGTTAAATTTTTCAATGTTTTGATACTTATTCCTATCAAAAAAATAATTTTTTTAGCTTATTTTTTTTTTGGACAAAAAAATTCTTACGTTAGATTCCTCTCTGACGTGAAGATAATTGAGACGTACGTCGGAGACGTAAACTGGTCGACCATTGTACAGTGATCGGAAATTATATTAATAAAATAAAGACGACTTTATATCAATAATGCTTTGATTCCTAACAAGCATTTTTTAAATTATAAGTTTACAAGTTAACAAGGAGTATCTGTTAAAGGACAATTTCTCGACTGGTTTACATGTTATATGTTTCTGCTGTTTAAAATAGAAAGTTGTCTTTATTGCATTGAAATTTACGACGACGACTGTAGTATTCACAAAAAAACGGACGCAGGTTAATTTTACGACCTTAATTGTAGTCGGCTTTCTCCCGTCCTCGGCAAGTAAGAGAAGAAGACGACCCAGCAGCCATCTTAGTTTTTCAGCACACTCTTCCTTTGTATATATTCCCAGAAATCTTAAACAATAAAGTGTTAAAATATTGCTGAGGATCTAAATAGCAAACGATCAATCAAAATATTCTCAAGTCAAATCTAAAGCTCTCAAAACATGTTTGTAAAGTTCCAAACAAACTTATAATAAGAATCAAATAATTCTATAAGAAACATAATTCGTCGGCTTAAAAAACTAGTTCGGAAATCGAATAAATTCCCCTGTCATGAAAATAAAACAATGTTACGAAATAAAAATACATCCTTTAAATATGTGACGAAAATGCACAAAAGTCAAAACTCTTTCTTCTATTTATTGTGAAATTGTCATTTTTTTTTACAGGGATAGTATTTGGTGACATGAAGTACATATATTTGACAACATGTGTGGGAGTGATACTATTTATAGCAGCTGACATTTTTACCATTAAATTAAGAAAATAAAATGGCAAAACTACAGCAGATAAAAATAAAATTATTTTTCAGTTTAAGGGGGTAAAACATACAAGAGTAGTACAAAGGACTTCAGAGACGACGCTTCTTGTTTTCTTAAATTCACGATTATCTGCTACTGTAAACTTGTTTTTTCTCTCTTAAATTCACGATTATCTGCTACTGTAAACTTGTTTTTTTTTCTTTGCCATTAATCAATTGAAAGGCTATAACTTTTTTCAAAGCAGAATTCTTAATTAAATCTTGAAATCGTCATATTATATAAATTTTAGGAAGTTATTAAGTGTCATCTTTTTGTGTAACCCTGTGGCAAAGTGAACATTTGGTAATTAGTTGAGAGAAAATTAAGGGCTTGAAGCTGGGGGATGGGGCGAACCAATGAAGGTTTATGGCAATTAAAAACTAAATAATTTGATTTAATTTTTTTTTGAAATCAATTATAAAACAGAAAATTATGTAAAAAATTTAATTTTTATTTTCAAAAATGTTTTGAGTCAAATCATAAAAAAACTGAGTCTTTGCCAGAAACTATGATTTTTTAATCCCTATCTCTTTAAAACCCAATGTCGTAGACCTTGAATATTTCAAACTATGAGTTATGTTAGATCAAATAATCGAAGTTAAAAATATCAAAAGTTTCACACTTTGAGGTTACAAAGATATAGGGACTAGAAAATTTTAGATTGTGGCAAAGACTCAATTCCTTTCAAAGCTAGAATTAAATCTAAGTTTCCTTTTTAATTTACTCTCTAGTTTGGAAACTGTTCCTTGGATAACTTAAAAATTAAATCTTCTTTATTTCATTTTGAAATAAATTGCTTTCTTTTGAAAACCTTTCAAGCGTATGTATTTTACAGTAGCTAAGGGAATATACCTTTCTCTCTTACTTTCCTAATAGGGGCATTCCAAAATAAAAGGGACAATTGTTTGACAATTATGGAAATGACCATCTCCGATTTGGCTAAAATTTTAAACACAGCTTAATGTTTGAAAAAAAAAACGTTTAATTTTTGGGGACCTCCAGGGGCGGAATTGAAAATTTAAGAAAAAAGTTTTTTTAAATCCTGTAACTTTGATATTATATAAAGTCAAATTCTTAACTAACTAAAAACCAAAAAAAGACAAAAACTAATACAGAAATTATGTAAAAATTTCAAAATTTTGCTGCTCTCCAACTCCGACCCCGGAGGTCCCCCAAAAAAAATTGAAAAACGAAATATATTTTTTTTAAACATTAAGCTGTGTGCAAAATTTCAGCCAAATCTGAGATGGTAACGTCTGGAGCCGGTCTCTTATGTTTTGGAATATAACTCAATACATTTACAGGGTGTGATAAGTAGTTTTGCAAAAAATTTTGATTCTAAAAAGTAAGAAAGACAAAAACAAAACAAAACAAAGGATGTTATCGAAGACTACTTGGGAACCCAGCTTTATCTGGAACTAAATTTTCTTCTAACAAAATTAACTCACTTAACAACTTAAATTACTAAAAAACATGCCAAGAATATTTCAAGCTTTCATTCCGAATTTGAGGCAAATCATCAAGTGGATTCATAAAAACAAACAAACATGCTCTGTGTACAACATTTGTTTGTACTGTTCCTTTAACTTTCATCTTCAACTCTAATAACATTTCTACCTGACATCTTGATCTCGCAACCTATCTTTTCCTCAAAAACTGACCTTTTATCCGACATAATCTTTCCTATCCAACATTTGGTACTTCTCTACATCATGAGCTCGCCTACAACTTCTTTTCCCCTAAACTTGACACTTTCCTTAATATTACATCTTTATCTTCTCTACAGGTTCTTAATCCAGAAAAGAGCACCAGTGTTTGGCCTATTGACCTCTCCCAGGGGCGTAGTAGGGGGGGGGGGCAGTACCCTTCAACATTTAAAAAACGCTTTTTTTTACCTCAAATCAAAGTTTTTTCCTTATTTACTACTAGATTTTATAATTGGTAACTATGGTCAGGGTAGATTTATATTGATTTTAAGCTTTAATTTGTCCTAATACGGGTTTTATAAGGGGGTGCACAAAATTGCACCCCCCTAGGCTTAACCTCCACTACGCCCCTGACATCTCCTACCTGTCCTCGAGGCCTAAACTTGCCGGTCGACCTGACATTTTGACCTCTGAATTGTCCCGACCCCAGGAGAGTCCTTTGATAACATCTGCCTGAACCCTAGGCAAATATTTAAAAAATTAATAAAATCTTAAACTTAGTTAAAATCGGAATTTTAGAAATTATGATTAATATCAAGATCAAGATTGAAGCCGTGTCTTGAAAGAGATTTTGACTTCATTACTTTTATGACTATAATTTTGCAATCTTATGTTCCAAAATATCAATATTGGCTTTTTCCGTCGTCTTCCAATATTATTAACCTTGGCGGATATACTCAACCAAATTAAATATTTAAATATAAACCAATTTAAAATTAGACTAAAACGAAAAAAAATGTGAATAATAATTTAGATTTTAGGCATCGCTGAAAATGATTATGAAGTAAGAAACAGAAACATGAACAGAAGCACTAACAAGTTTAACAGAAACACGAACAGAAGGACTAACAAGTTAAACAGAAACATGAACAGAAGCACTGACAAGTTAAACAGAAACATGTACAACTAAATTAAAAAAGTGCAGTATGTGATACATAACATGAAACATTTCACATGAAAAATGTCAGATGGAATGGTCAAATGATACATGTCACATTAAACGTATCACATAAAACATGTCTCATGGAACATGTAACAATTTACGTGAAGTTTGAAACATTAAGTTTTTATCATGTAAAATTCCACGTAGAACAAACCTCGATATTCCCACTGCTTCTACATCCTCAACGGGAGCAGCTCTAAGCTGCTCTAAATTTTCAATCCCAGCTGCAGAAAGCAGCTCTCCTGTTTTTCTTCCCACACCTGAAAGAAACGTCATTTTGAGGGGCTCGTTTAAAAAAAGAAAAAAAAACACCATTACAACCCAGCAAAACTTAGAAATGTTGTTGCCTGCCTATTCGTAAAGTCACTTTACAGAAAAGCCGAGGACACAAGATTTCAATAAATACAGGGTGTTCCAAACAAACGGGGTTTAGGGTACTAGAGCTCTTACCACGGTTCGATTTTTTACAATTTTGGATATTTTCGAAATTTATGAAAAATTTTCAATCGATGTGCACCATCTTAAAGGTTGAAGCCTTAAAAATAGGCAAGATGAAAAACTTTTGGGGCACCTTGTCTTAATATTTATCTGATATCTTCATTCTCGATTCTTTGCTAATAATACCAATGATGGCTCTATTTAGTTTTGCAAACATTCACTTTAAAAAAAGTAATAAATTCCCACATTTAAGTGACTTTTGCAAAATGATTCGTGGTAAATGTCTGATGAAACTCTAGAGAGAATAGTTCAAAAGAAAAACAATATCTGTAATGTTTGCTGAACTATATATTTCTAGTATAGACTTACTTGAACTATTAGATAAGATATAAAGATATCAAAATAGTTCAACTTCTCGAATTTCTTAAACAAATTTAACTCTTTTCTTGAAATATAAATTTCCGAGTTTTGATGTTAGTTCACTGGAATTATCAATTTTCAAGTTTTAACTCAAGATATTAACTATATAGGGAAGAGAAAAAAGTTGTAGATAAAAAAAGTGAAAAAGCATAAAAACATTAAAACGATTGTTTCTTTTATTTGTTAACTATATTCAACTGTCCTTATGTTTTCTGAACCTAACCATGGTATACACATAGACTATGTTTAAAAACTGAACCTAACCTGGTATACAGGTAACATGGAGATCATGTTAAAGAACTGAACCTGACCTGGTATACTGGTAACCCAAGAACTGAACCTGACCTGGTATACTGGTAACCTGGAGATCATGTTAAAGAACTGAACCTCACCTGGTATACTGGTAACCCGGAGATCATGTTAAAGCACTGAACCTGACCAGGTATACTGATAACCCGGAGATCATGTTAAAGCACTGAACCTGACCAGGTATACTGATAACCCGGAGATCATGTTAAAGAACTGAACCTGACCTGGTATACTGGTAACCTAGAGATCATGTTAAAGAACTGAACCTGACCAGGTATACTGATAACCCGGAGATCATGTTAAAGAACTGAACCTGACCTGGTATACTGGTAACCTGGAGATCATTTTAAAGAACTGAACCTCACCTGGTATACTGGTAACCCGGAGATCATGTTTAAGAAGTAAAAGAGCTGAACCCGGAGCAATGACGGTCTGATCATCTGGTTTGTTCACACCTCCAACCAGCTTGGCGAGAACCTTGTTATGCGCTATACCTGGAAAATTAAAAACGTATGAGTTGGTTTCCACCAGAGAGCGAATGAATTTATATAAGAATCGTTTCATGTATAACAAATCAGCAAATAGTGGCAATATGACATTGAACAGTCCCAATTTAAGCACAATAACGTTAACAGATGGCTTTCATAGTATATTTTTATCATTTTCTAATTTGAAAAAATAGGATCTTCTAATTAGGGTCTCTGCAAGTTCTACATAATGGTTTAGATCTTTATGTAACCCCGGGTCTTATCCACTCCCCCAGTTTTTAGAAACCATAGAAGTCAATTTTGTACACAGCTAAGATATTATGAGATTACATCAAATCCAATATTTCGGCTTCCTGAAACATCTCGTTACTGAATTATTGCCAAAGTTGATGTTATGTTAAGTTAATGTCAAAAATACAACTTTACAAAATCATTAAATACATTATAGGGAATCTTTAAAGAAAAGGTTTTGCGAAAATTGGAGGATGGACTCGTGAAGAAAGTCGAGGTCAAAAAATATAAATATAATTATAAATTATGTAAAATTTCTAATCATATACAAGAAGTAAATAAAATCTTAAAATAATATTTAATCTTGTAATAATCAGTTGAAATTAGCTCGACATCTCAAGACTTAATTAACAAAAAATAAATGCCCAGTTAAAGCATTGAGGACCCTGGCTTTTATGTTTTCTCATGATATATGCTAGCCCTGTATAAACCTTAAAGAGAGTGACCGGCTATGTAAGGTAGTTGAACTGAGTATGCAGTGTTGTGGAAAACTTCTTTCGGATTCATTTTAGACATATTACACTTTTTAAAGATCTGTAAATCCTGAGTTTGAGCGCAAATTCGACGTCAATGTGGTGTCTGACTTGATAAGAATGACCCCTCTTTATATATAAATATATATACTTTTCTTGTCTGTCTGTTTGTTTGTATAAAAAATACGACTTTTTTCACGTTTGAAATTGCACCAGGACGCGATAACACAAAATAATCCCTGAAAATTTTGCGCCCTAGTGCCTCAAATTTTTTTAATTCAAGGTTAGCATTGCGAGCGCGCACAATGCACATTTGTTTCGATCTTTTTGAAATTGCCTTTTGCAGTTTCAATACATATTAGTGAGTTAGCATGCAAAAAATCAGCGTCCTAGGCCATAGCTAAGTTATGTTTAACCACTGTTCATATTTTCCGGAGAGTAATACGACCTATGCCCCCCCCCTTTTTGTGGGACCTCACGTGACCCCCAGGAAAGGTTTCTGGATGATTAAATTTTCAAAAATTTGCTTCTATTTTTCGAAAATTTTGAAAATCCGCGAAATTTTTTTTAAATCCGCGAATTCTTGTTTTCTGTTTTACGATGTATTCAAAGAGAAAATGTTTACAAATGAAATAGAAGCGCGCCCAAAAGCCTGATTAACCATATTTTTAATACGAAACCTGCACTGGATGAAAGATTATGCTTGTCTTTCAACATCATTCTCAGCTCCTAGAATATCAAAAATAAAGTTGACATTTTACAGAAAAAAGAAAAAAATTTGAAGTTTTAATTCAACGTGACCTGAGGTCACAGTTCCTTTGTGTTAAATATCGTTATTCTGGAATGTTTGATCTCAATATGCAGTGCGGGCTCTTATAAGTTTGAGGATAAATAATCGATCCCTCAATAGAAGTTATCTCTACAGGGTAGGATTACCACGGGATATTAAACTAATCCGTAGGTCTGCATAAGATGGAGATCAATTAGCGCCCCAATTGATTATAAAAATTGATCACTTTATGTTGAATATAATAACATTAATCACAACTTAAGAACGGAAACAAAACTTTTCTAATAAGATGATAAAATAGAAACAAAAAAGAATTTCCTCAAATGTTTTGTCAAAGCAACGTTTTATAATTCTCAAATTTCGTATTATTAGATTTGATATACAGGGTTACTTACAAAGGATGAGACTGCAAAGACGATTGTTCAGAATTTATACTTATTCCTTATATTTATGATGCCCTGAATCTTTAAACGTCATTATTTTTTGTCTGACCATTCAATAAGTCATAAAATGATTATATTCCAGCCAGAAGACTTAAGTTTCAGGTCGTCTTTACATTCTCATCCTTTGTTAGTAACCCTGTAGAAACAGCCAAAAAAAAACAATATCTACATATTTTAACAAATCTGTTTCATATTAAGTTTGATTTGACCATGTGCAACTATTCTTATATTTGTTTGCTAATTAAAGAGTGTACATTTTTAAGAATGGGGGAACAATCTTTGAAGCTTTGGGGGGGGGGGGACTTACACTTTCGAGATTTTGCCCTTTCAGTTGGACTCGTAATAAAAAAAACAGATTTTCTCCAAATGATTATAAAATATTAAACCTGTGCTATGACGGATCCTATTTTGAGATTATCTATGCATTCACACTCTTCACATTCAAGCTCTCCACATACTTTACCACTAAATGAAAGAAACTGTTCCGTAAATTCAAGCGATTTTCCAATTAAGAGGGGTATACCTAGAGTGCTCTTAAATAATAAGAAAGATATAATTCTGCCAATTTGCTCACAATGGATAGAAACCAAAATTAAAAATAATAAGTTTTGAATGGATATGATGAATATCTCATGCATTCTTGATAAAAAGCTTTAGAGAGTACCTTTGTGAATCGTATATTAATATTAAACTATTTTTTTGTCAATGAAGAGTCACTGAGACTTCGTCTACTTTTCTTCAATCAATCCCAGATGTATGAATACATAGGAAGAGTTTTTTAAAATGTCGTATTCTCAACATATTTAAGATCAAATGCCGCGGAAAATAAGTTTAATATATCCATTGCTGTCCTTTATATTTCAGGGCTATTAATTTACCTTAAATTAAAAATAGAAGCAGTTACTTAAGAATTATCAAAAAACTTACGACTCTATAATGATATTTGGATTTATTTTCACAAATCGTATTCAACCCGTTAAAGCTGCGATTATCTCTGCAGCTTTCTCGTTGTGCAGACCAATGATGAAGCATTACAACTGTCATAATTTTCGTACTAAATTTCAAGACATTTCATGCAATGTATTCTTATATGTGGGATTGGCTGTTTTAAATATTGAATGATGAATATGTGTGTCCACATGTTAGAAAAGGCATATTCCATGCTTTTCTAAATTATTAAAATGTTTTTATTGACTTGCAAACAAAAATCTGCACTGTCTGAGATTTTTTGAAATATTATTCTTAACAACTTTGCTTTTTATTCCACTGTCCAAAACATTGGATTCGACAGAAGCCTCAACAAAACATGACCAATTTATTATTATAAAAAAAAGTTGAAACTTGTTCATTCTTTTTAAAATTTTAATATGTACTAAAAGTTTCTACGCTACATAGTTAGTTTGTACGCTAAATGATTAGTTTGTACGCTAAGAAGTTAGTTTGTACGCTAAATATTTAGTTTAAACCTTAAGTAGTTAGCTTGTAAGGTAAATAGTTAGTTTGTAAGGTAAGTAGCTAGTTTGTAAGGTAAGTAGTTAGTTTGTAAGGTAAGTAGATAGTTTGTAAGTTAAATAGTTAGTTTGTAAGGTAAGTAGTTAGTTTGTAAGGTAAGTAGATATTTGTAAGGTTTAAAGTAGTTAGTTTGTAAGCTATGGAGTAGTTTGACAATGTACATGGAACTAACCTTAACGAAATATCAGTCATGTTTTGCTCTCTACGTCGAACTTGGATAATTTTAGTAATATCCAGCCAGTTCTCATCCATACCCAACCTTTCAACAGGACTCCCTAGATACAGGGAGTATATCTGGATATAATAATATCCAACCAATTCTCATCCATACCCAACCTTTCAACAGGACTCCCTAGATTAATATACATGGAGTATATCTGGATATAATGATATCCAGCCAATTCTCATCCATACCCAACCTTTCTACAGCACTCCCTAAATATAGGGGAGTATACCTAGATATAATAATATCCAACCAATTCTCATCCATACCCAACCTTTCTACAGGAATCCATGGATACAGGGAGTAAACCAGGATATAATTATATCCAACCAATTCTCATCCATACTCAACCTTTCTACAGCACTCCCTAAATACAGGGAGTATACCTGGAGTGGATATAACGATATCCAACTAATTCTGACTCTCATCCATACCCAACCTTTCTATAGGACTCCCTAAATACAGGGAGTATATCTGGATATAATGATATCCAAACAGTTCTCATCCATATCCAACCTTTCTACAGGAATCCCTAGATACAGGGAGTAAACCAGGATATAATTATATTCAACCAATTCTCATCCATACTCAACCTTTCTACAGCACTCCCTCAATACAGGGAGTATACCTGGAGTGGATATAATGATATCCAACTAAGTCTGACTCTCATCCATACCTAACCTTTCTACAGGACTCCCTAGATAAAGAGAGTATACCTGGATATAATGATATCCAACCAATTCTCATCCCAGTATAATGTGATAACTCAAAATAAGTAAATAATCCAATTAAGGTAGTTAAAGCTTATAATGTAAATATTTTAAGAGACTTTAACAGTACTTAAACGTAACCCTCCATTAAAAAAACAGAGTAGCATGCTCAATTGACAGTGGTACCCTCAATACCTCTAGCCGAATAACAATGAGGAATATATGGTCGTTTTTCGATCTTAAGTGTTGAATTCTGACAATGGCCTCCATCATCTCTGTAACTTTAAGTTGCATTTGAAGAAACACAACTGAAAATCAACTTAGATGTGTCATTCATCATTGATGAGAAAGATTTGAAGGGTACAGTTGTTAATCGATCATGCTACTCTAAAGAAATTGAGGACAACTTGAAATTACGTTAATTATATATAGTCCATTTTAGTGGAATGTCAGGCCTTACAAAATACAAAATAACAAAGATCTTAACATTTTTTTATACCTGTTTCACATAAAGATGAATAAACAGCTGTGCTGACTCGTCTGAAATATAAACTCTCTAACACGAGCAATGAATAGAAAATTTGTTAATATCGAACTTTGTAAAAAGTAAAAAAGAAAGTTTACAAAGTCTTTTGTTTCATTAAACAACATAACGCAGCATTAAAGGGACTATTTACTATAAACTGCTAAATGTATCCTTGTATAGTTGGACCCATTAAATTGTGGAAAATGGAAGACGACGTGAAAGGAAGTAGTGAATATTTTATGTTGCTGATGAGCAATTAGCTTAACCAGCTTTAAATTAGCTTTAAATCCCAAGTTATCTTAAGGAATTCGCCTGTATACACTGCACAGTACAATTGCTGTATTTTGTGTATTGGACATTTTAAAATTATAAAGTAAAGTTGTCTTCGTATTCCACAGATTTATAGGTCTCACTGTATATATGTAATCTCTATTTATTTAAAATCTACCTGTATTCTGCAAGATCTTCACCATTCACTAGAACTAACTCAGGACAAATCTCACGGGCCTAGTATTATTATTATTAATATTATCATTCAATCTACAGTTAAAGTATCATGTCATGAAGGCTATGTTATGTTGAGCTCCTCGTCAATTCCCCATGTCCATGTCACCTTGGGTTAGTGAATCATATCCAGCTTTAAATCTTTTTAGCATTCAATAAGTACGTCAAATATGTAAGAAGACATCAAAGTTGATAGGTAAAATAATATTAATAGTACCCACATCCATTAAAGTAAGGATAAAAACAGTTTTTGTAGTTAGATTATTATCTTTATTATTATTATTTCGGATTGTCCATTGTCCAATGTTTAATGACTTTATTATAAAACTTGTCATTCTTCCTGTCAAGTTTAGGAACGTCCTACTTCCAAACCCAAGTTTGGTGACGTCCTACTTCCAAACCCAAGTCTAGGGACGTCCTACTTCCAAACCCAAGTTTATGGACGTCCTACTTCCAAACCCAAGTTTGGGGACGTCCTACTTCCAAACCAAAGTTTAGGGACGTCCTACTTCCAAACCAAAGGTCTAAGATGAGATCAACAGTGGTCGGCGTTCATATCAATACAATGAAGATGAGTTTTCGATACAAGTTTTGATTTATAACATGCTTTCGTCAAATTACAAGTTTACAAGTAAACAAAAAGAAGGTGCTAATTGACAGCTTCTCTTTATTTCTATAATTACGTGTATGTATCCATGCACTTTAAGAGCTTAGTGGAGTTAAAAAATTGAAATCGAAAGCAGTGTTGATATATATGACGATGACGACGACGACGACGACGACGACGACGACGACGACGACGACTGTATAAAGGAAGGAACCCCTTGGCCGATTTGATCAAATTTTGATTAAGGAACACGGTAAAACCAGGGGAATATTCTTAGTATGGTTTAAAGATTATAAACTGGGTTGGTTGGCGTTTAGTTTCCATGCAAAGCTGGGTTTCCAAGTTAGTACTAAATTAAATCCAAACCCCTACAAATAGTAAATTATATAATATCACCTACATATGATATTCAAAATAAGATGCATGTTTAAGAGAAAATGCTTTTAGAAAAAAAATGTAAAAAAAATGAAATTCATGTGTTCTGGGAAATAAAATAAGAATAATTAAGAATACAAGGGAAAATTTAAATCTTAACGATTTAAATATAGGCGTAAACTTGAGAAAATGTTGTAAAAACTACAGAGCGTCCCATATTATATTAGATTATCTCTAAGCTTTAACGCCAAAATACGCACTAAAAACCTAGTATTTTCTGCAAGAAAACTTTTTAAAACCTTTTACGTTTTTAAAAAATGATTCATTGTTTTATAAATTTTCTGATTAGTCCCTAAAATCACAATTATGATCTAATATGATATGGGACAACCTGCATAAAAAAATTAATACAATTTAATAATATCAAAATGCATAACGCCTTTTTTTGTCTGTTTGAGGGTTTTTTAAATAAACTATAAATAATTATCCCTTTGATCCCCTTAATATGGTTTATTCTAATCAAAGATTTTTCAACATAAATCTAGTAATCGGCTTTTTTCAAAGATAATCTAATTAAAGGATTAGCTCTGTCTGACCTGATACACATTGAGTTTAAGAGACTGTAAACGAATTTTTAAGTTACTGTGCATGCCTGATTCACAACAGCACCCTTGAAGCCTTGATCCAATACATAATGTAGAAGATAACGTCGTTGTTCTGGCCTGAAAACTTCACTTCTTAAATAATTCTAAAGCAAGAAATGCGCAAGTAACGTTGTAGAGAAGCCGCAAATATAATTAATTAGTTTTAAAAAAGAAACAAAATAACATCTTATTCGTACTTGGTCATGCAAAAGCTTTTAAGGGGACTGTTGTGAATCGAACAAGCAACTCTGTCAATATAGGATCAAGTAAACAGTCCCTTGAAAACCTCATAAAAAAGACAGGAAACTGAAACGTTGACCCTACATGGTATTTTGACCAGTGCTTAGGATCCATTTAATTTTGATACGGATCCGGATCCTGGGTCCGCAATGGAAAAAATCGGCATTATTTGGTTGATATTTTGCCCCTTGGATCCGGATCCGTGGATCCGCATGTTTTTGCGAATCCGGATCCAGGAAGCAGCATTAGTATTTTCCCCTTATGTGTCACCTTATTTATGAAAAAGATCAAATTTGACGAAGTAAGAATTATGTTCGTTGATTTTTAAGAAATTAATAAGGCAAATCACATTCTATTAAGATCAAACCGCACGTCCTTTTTAATGAAGAAAAAAGAAAAATTACAAAAATAAAGTTATCTTTCAATATTTAAATGACAGAAAATATATATTTTTGTAAAACTATTATTCCTTCTTAGAATAGAATAGATTCCGGATCAATAATGTTTAAAGAACAGAAAATTACCTTCTTTTTTTATAAAAATGTCAGTAATGAAATTACCATCAGAAACTACTTTTATCATCAAAGATTCATGTTCCTTAATGGAACCTTAAACAATGATTGGAATCATTGGAAAGTACTTATAAGAGACTGTACACTTAATATCACAATATCATTAATATCCTTGCATGTCGGATTGACAGCTGCAGCACCCTTTAAACCTTGATATTAGTACAATGAGGAAGATACATTCCTATTTTTAAAAGTTGCTTTTGTGAAAATTTCCCTAATTGTCATCGTAGCATGAATACGCAAGTCACTTTAAAATAGATCCAACTGGAAACTTAAAATTCCGTCCTTGTAACAAAAGAAGATACTCAAAAGCTTTAAAAAATACAAAATTCTTTAAATGAGAGGACAATTTCACCTAAAGTTTTCAAACTACTTGTTTGGGCGGCAAATATGAGATGTTTTCCTTACACTTTGTTAACCCTTCAATTAACACCCTGCAAAAGTAGTGCAAACCCCGGAAATCGGCACTGGTTTATAGATGACGACATTCATATTATTACTCAATCTCTTAAATTGTAGTGGACATTTATTCAACCAAAAAATGATAAAGTATGATTTAGACGAGGGGCTACTGTACACCATGTACAAGTGAACTCTTATTTATATATTTAATAATTGTTTCTTGTTGAACATCTGCACTTTAGATGTATCCACAAGTTATTTATTTTGGTATTTAGTCACTAGAACTAACGTCATCTGAACTATCGATATTCTCACTTTTGTTCATATTGACAAGTTTTGATTGAGTTTTGCTTTTTAGTTTTTTGTTATATTTTAAGATTATAATGTTTTACTATTTGAATTTATTTCAGCATCTTATTGTAAATATTCTAGTAGCATAGATTAAATGTCGTCGTGTTTATACCAGTGCCGATTAGGGTTTGCAAAACTCTTGAATGCAAAAACGAATATAACCCCATCTTTTAAAACGATCGTTTTTTCATTAATGGTAAACCATTTTGCATGATTCAATAATGCTAACTTTGACAGAAATAAAGAAATAAACTGGAATCTTTCAAAAGTCAAAAACACTTGGAAGTTTAAAAAACGAACCTAGTTTTTACTTTATCTTCTCAGAAATTGTAATCCCAAAACGTAAGTTGCTTGTTCCTCTGTTCGGTAATTAGAATAGTCATGCAAGTACAAATACTATGCTTTGTACACTATATAACACACATCACTAATTTGGGAACTCAACTTTGCTTGGAAACTAAGTTCTCGCTAAAAAAGTCATCCTACTAAATTTGGAACTTTGAAGCCAAGCTAAGAAGGTTCCCGGGGTTCTACCAAGTTCTCCAATTAAAATTTGAGGCAAATCGGTTTAGGTGCTCATGAGTTTTGATCGGACATCCAAGCATCCAAGCATAGATAGTATACTACTTAAAAATCAGTGCTTAGGATCCATTTAATTTCAATGCGGATCCGAATCCGGATCCTGGATCCGAACTGAAAAAACTGGATCCAAACCCGGAACCGGATCCGGATCCAGGCCATGAACATTACTTTCAGATTTACTGATTTTTTTTACGACTCAGATTTATCAAATCTATTTTTCTTCTTTTTTTCGCTTATTTTTATGCAAAAACTTGATGAACCATTCAAATATCAAGAAATTTTTATAATCTCTCTTTTTTAAACAGTTCAGATTTAGGTTTTCAGAGCAAAATTTTTTCGGCAGTTTTTGGTCGATATTTTTCCACTTGGATCCGAATCCGTGAATCCGCATATTTTGGCGGATCCGGATCCAGGAAGCCAAAATCTTGTGGATCCAACGGATCCTAAGCACTGATATAAATATTGACATACCTCAGTAATATACATACACTTCCCCACACCTCTAGCCCTGGCTGGGTAGTTACAGGTTACAACTAAACAGAAATAATTTACATTACATAGTTATTAAGAATTGGCCAGGAGACACAAAACAGAAAGTTTAAAATAGTAAATTCAAAAATATTTTTTAAATGGACTATTTTATCAATTTTAAAGAAAGACATACCCTATTCACAATAATACCCTTTAAACCTTTTTCTCATCTTTAATGTAAAATATAGTCATTGCAACAGCTTGAAAAGTGCTCAATCTGAAAATTTCCTCCACGGTTTCTGTGGCAGAAATTTGCACTTCTTCAGAGAAACTTCAACTCAAAATTATCAAAAAAGAGAAAATATGAAGATCGCATTCAATTTTATCAGACAACGCTTTTATGGGTACCGTGGTGAATTGGACATGTCAGTCTACAGCCAATGGTCAATGGAAATTTTCTTTGCTTTGAAGGGACAGACCGGCTATTTAAGGTAGTTAAACTGAGTATGCAGTGTTGTGGACAAATTCTTTTGGATTCATTTGAGACATATAAATCTTTTTAAAGATCTGTAAATCCTGAGTTTGAGCGCAAAGTCGACGTTCAAAGTCGTACTTTTGGGTGGATACGTTTTCAGAATTGTTTTTTTTTAATTATTAAACAACGACGACAAAAAATGTAAACAAAATTTACAGTAAACTAATTAGTTGTTTAGGAACAGGTTAAGAAAATAAAAATTAATCTTATCATCGAAAATAAGTAATCTATTTCAATTATTAGTTTCTATTTCTCTTTATTCTGGTTTCTCATTATTTACAAAGATTTTCTGGAATTATTATTGAAAAGACGACATTAGAAGAATTTGTAGAAATCTGCGAACAAATTCATAAAAAATAAGAAATTCAATATAATAAAGAAAACGAAATAATTGATTTAGCATTGATTTATTGACAAATTTCTTTTTAGAAATATGTTCCTAACCATCTAATTAGTTTACTGTATAATTTTTACTTTATTTTTCGTCGTCGTAATTTAAAAATTAAAAAAAAAAAACGATTCTGAAAACATACCCACCCAAATTCATGATTTTGAACATCGACTAAGCAATCAGTAATCATACATCGTGGAAAAGTTTTATATGTTATATATATATGTTTATATATATGTTTATATATGTTATATATATATATGTTTTATATCCTAAAGGATTTGTCCACAACACTGCATACTCAGTTTAATTACCTTACACAGCCGGTCTGTCCCTTTAAATGTATAAACAAAGCTCACTCGCAAGCCAGAAGCTCAAAATGTTATATAATGTAGTGATTTACTAACGCTAATGCCGATTTTTATTTATTACAGTGAGAACAATAAAACTGTGGAAAAGAAAGACGATATTTTAACTATCTTATCAGCAGGGCCGGTGTACATTAATTCTGAGATTCATACTTTTGAAAACAGAAAAATTTGCACTTCAAATCTTAAGTGTATTTCTCGCCCATCTTCTATTTAAACTTTTAATTGTGGCTTTATCTGTGAGCATCTTCTCTTTGTACAGTACAAAACAAAACAAAAAAGTTTGCGGATTTCATAACATTTTTTCGCGCATTTTCAAAATTTTACAAAATAAAAAACATTTAAACACAAATTCTTAAAATTTTGATCATCCATAATCCTTCCGACTGGGCCCGATCGGTTCAGTCGTTTTGACGTTTATTGGATACAAACAAACAGACAAGCTAAATTTATACATAGATAAAGCAAATATTTTTACCAGTTCCTCAAAAATCAATTTCCACAATTCCTGTGTACTTTATGGTTATTAGGATACTTAAACAATAACTTGAATTATCAGTCGTCTTCCTAATCCACATTTTACTAGGTCAAAATATATGTAAAATTAATTTAAGTTAAAAAGTGTTTAACCAATATTTTTCTGTTGTACTCCCATAGGTTTGTCTCGAAGCTCAGGTTTCTTATTCATCTCAACCTTAATCAGACTGAGTTAAAAGGATTAATATGAGGACACTAGCTCCCCCCCTCAGAGCTTGCTAAATATGTTCTAAATATCCCTTCAAAGGTGCGCAACGGAGAAATGATGTTGCCCCATCATGTTAATAGTTAAATAATACCCGTGGATCTAGGTATAGTATTCTGGGAATATGCTAATTTTCCCGAAACAGGCACACTGTGACTAAATATCCGTAAAAATGTTCTCAATATCCGTTAAAATATATCCCTGAAAAAATCACTTTAAAATTTCCTAAATATCCGAGAAAAAAGGCGTAAATATCTCTGAATATATCCAAAATATCTCTGAATATATCCCAAATATCCCTTTACAAAGTTAGAACCTGGGCATAAAAGCAATCAAGATCAATGTGTACAATAACCCTGTCATGCCGATCCTCCATTTTTTCTGGAAAAATACATTATTTATCCTTCCGCCTTCGTCTCAGGATTTTCAGATTTCTTTTTCTTATCTTTCTTCTTTTTCTTCTTCTTTATTCTTTCGATACCAGGCTCAACTCTACTAGCAAATCTTTAAAAAAAAAACATTTCCTTAATCCATTGTTTGAGAGATTTTTAGGAAATATCCTAGAGGGGAGAGCCGGGGGAGGAAGAAAAGGCAACCTCCCCGCACAGGTTCCGAACCTCATTTTACCTACTTGTGGCAGTGCGCGTCCCCAAAGGACTTCCGAACCTCCCCTGAACAGTCTTCCGGAAATGATTTTCATTTATAATCGTCAATTTCTACTTAAAATGTGACTAATTCTATTATTTAGGCATGGTAGTCCATCTATAGTATCCTTAACATTGTCATTTTCATAATATTTTTATTTCTTTTTACAATCAATGTTCGTACTGGAAAACCAAATTTTTGTAGATTTTGTTTGATATCCGCAACGCTCAAATTAAAAAATGTAATTATCTTTAGATCTATATGCATTTTAAATCTGTAGCGCTTGTAAAATAAAGCCCAATAGTGTTAAAATTATTAGATTATAACCGAGTTTTGTTTTCTTAAATATCTCAATAACTAAAAAGAAAATTTACAAATCGCAATGTTTTTTAGAATCTAAACTTAAAGAATATTTTTTATTTGTCTACTTTTTAGTAAAAGCTCATAAAAAAGCCCCAGCCATTCCAAAATTTGCGGAGAAAAAAATCTATAAATAAAAGCTATTTTCTCCCTGATCTTTGATTGTAAAAAAGAAAAAAATATGCTATATAAATGTTAAGGATACTATGGATGGACTAGCGTGCATAAATAATCAAATAGTTCCCCTTTAAGTAGAAATTGACGATTATATATGGAAGATTATTCCCGGAAGACTGTTTGAGGGAGGTTCGGAAGCTCTATGGGGACGCAAATAGGTAAAATGAGGTTAGGAAGCTGTGCAGGAGAGGTTGTCTTCCCTCCCTCGCCGGGGAGGATTTGCTTGTACAGTGAAATTTATAAATTATACAACTTATAAGGACGTGAAAATGATAATTATGATTTCTCTTTTGTATTGCAAGGGGAACCCTGCTCTATAGATGTACCCCTTAATTATTTTGGTGATTATATTAATCCCTTGTTACTACCAAGGGCGGCATTGTTTTAAAGAAAAAAGTTTTTAGATAAGATCGAAGTAATGTTCTTTGAAATTTATTAATCAAAGTTAGGAAAAATTAATAATTAACCGAGGGAACTAATTTTAAAGTTAAATTGAGTGTAACCCATACTTTTTTTTAGTTCAGAATAAAATTAATTTCAAGAGGAAAATATAAAACAAAACAAAAATATTAAGATTCCACAACAACCGCTAAAGATAAAACGAATATTATGTTAAGCCAAAGTAGAGATATTGGGAAAAGGTTTAACTAGATATTAGGAGAAGGTTTAAAGAGATATTGGGAAAAGGTTTGAGGCGATATTTTCAGAAAGTTTGAGGAGATATTGGGAGAAGGTTTGAGGTGATATTTCAGAAGGTTTGAGGTGATATTTTCAGAAGGTTTGAGGGAATATTGGGAGAAGATTCGAGGGGACTTTTGGAGAAGATTCGAGGTGATATTTGGAGAAGGTTCGAGGTGATATTTTCAGAAGGTTTGAGGGGATATTGGGAGAAGGTTTAAGGAGATATTAGGAGAAGGTTTGAGGTGAAATTTTTAGAAGGGTTGAGGGGATATTGGGAGAAGGTCTGAGTGGATATTGGGAGAAGGTTTGATCAGACATTTGGCGAAGTTTTGAGGGAGAAGGTTAGAGTTGTTAATAGAAGGAGAAGGTTTGAATTTGAGGGTATAATGGAAGAAAGTTTGAGGGAATTTTGGGAAAAATTTTAAGAGATATCAACAAAAGGTTTGATGAATATATTGGTGAGGGTCCACATTGCACCACACACTGCTGAAAATGGACTATCAGGTTTCAAGTCAAAACACTTAAATTTTTCTTTGGAATACATTGTAGAAATCAGGTTCATTCACAGGTGTAAAATTAACGAACATTTTGTTTCAAGACTTTAATCTGCATCTTCTGGGTTTTTGACGATATTTTTTTACAGTATATGGCATGGTCTCCAAGCTTTTTCATTTTTCTTAAACAGTCTTGAAACACATTGTATCAAAAAATCAAACCCCTAAGTCAACTGCCTGACTGTCAAAATACGGACCGAAAAAGTTTTTTTTATGTAATGTTTACTGATTTTACTTCAAAAAGTCTTTTTTAGGCAGTAATTGGGCAATTATACAGTTCACTTTGTTTTTTGCTCAAACATGTCTTATGACTGAAAAGGAAAATTCAAAAAAATTGGGGACCCTTCCATTAGCGGTTCTAAAAATATCGCAAAAAAAACACAGAATAAGCTTGATTAATATTTGAAACTACAGTTAAGTTTGAGTTCAGACCTGAAAATGCACTTGATTTCTACAACTTCTTTAAAATGGATTTACTTTACATTCCCTAGGTGGTATTTCCTGAAAATTGAGATTATAACTCAGGAGACTGCATATTAATATATTCCAAAGAAAAAATTTAGGTGTTTTGACTTGAAACCTGATAGTCCATTTTCAGCAGTGTGACCACTTCTAGAGTTTTCTTAGATACATTTAAAGAAAGAGATTTAAGAATTTCTTTTACGATTTTAAAAATAATTGAGATTTTAGTTTTTTTAGTTTAAATCAGATCACAAAATTTCGTAAAAATAAGATGGGTATCAAAATATCCGTCTTAAAAAACTGAGTTCAGAAACGTTAAATTCATAAAAATCCCTTCAAAAACTACTAAAAAACAAATTACACATGCCCGAAATTATCAAATTATTACAATATTTTACTTGTTGGCGTAAAATTGTATTCCCTCTTGGGATAAGATTGATTCCGGGGTTACAGCAACCTCTCGCAACCTCTCATCATCTTCTACAATCTCTTTTCTAAAATAAATATAAAATATAAAAATTAAGATTGTTTATTTTACAAAAAATGAGTTGTTTTTTAAACTATTTACTTAAATAAATTTAACGATGTAACATATTTTATTAATATTTTGATGAATTGAAAAAGTAACCTATGCGCTAATAAATCTGGCCTTTTCTGGTGGTGTACGATAGGAGTAAGATCTACAGGTTTCAGACTAGATTTTAACAATTTTATCCCGGTCTCAGGTTCATTCCGTTTCACCTTCTTTATCTTTCTCTCAACCTGGGGTAATTAATAGTTTAAATGTCGTCTTCCTTCTGGAAGAAATCATGAGAGACAGAAAAGTAAAAATCCAGGAAGGAAGACATTTTAATCCGCTGTAAATTAATTCACAGTTTTAAAAGAAATCCAATTATTACGGCAAATTTTTTGAGCTGTAGCTTTAGCTGGAATCAGACCCCATCTCCCCAACACAATGAGAAATAGGGGAATAATTAAGGAAGTTTTTTTTTTGGGGGGGGGGGGGGTTAGATGAACAATACATAGAAAAATGTAATTTTTTTCTTGAGCCCTTTCAACTTAGAATTAAATTGCCCTCATGCACTGAAAAAATCATGACGTACAAAATAATTTTAAGGATAGGTTTAGTGACGAGGCCAGCGGGGTGGTGATTTGTTTTGTAAGAACGAACACCATTGACGTACAGGGATGCATAATAGATGATTCCAAACCTCTGTAATATTTTGTTCCAGCATCTTGTCAAGCTGAGCAGCAACGAAGGTTTGAAACTCAGGAGTAACCTCAAGGTCGGAGATATTCTGTTCTTCAAGAGGGTTCAAATCCCTTCTCAGGGTCTAAAACAAGACATGGATATTTTTAAATATATAATTAGTCAAGATCGGAGATTTTCTGTTCTTCAAGAGGGTTCAAATTCTTTTCTCAGGGTCTAGAACAAGACACCAATATATACAGAAATTAAGAACCGCCAAAGAGCAACACAGTTTTCTACAGTATTTACTTAGAACTTACTTTACGAAAAATAAAGTTCTCCTTATAACAAGAAGTACTAGCAAAAAATAAAAAATAAACTGCTTAATGTTTTCTTAAGATTTCTTAGCTACTTTGATTATAAAGTTACTTTACACTACGGGAATCACGTCTACTTGATCAAAAAGTTACTTTATACTACGGGAATAACTTTAGCTACTTTGATCATAAAGTTACTTTACACTGCATAAACAATTTCTTCTTTGATCTTGTTACTTTTAACTACGGAAACCACTTCTACTTGATCAAAAAGTTACTTTACACTACGGGAATAACTTATCTACTTTAATCATGAAGTTACTTTACACTACGGGAACCATGCTTATCTACTTTGATCATGTTACTTTACACTACGGGAACCATGCTTATCTACTTTGATCATAAAGTTACTTTACATTACGGGAACCATGCTTATCATCTTTGATCATAATGTTACTTTACATTATGGGAACAACTTCTGCTTTAATCAAAAAGTTACTTCAAAGTATGGGAAAAAATTTAATCTTACCTTCGGTTTATCTTTCGGAACATTTTTAACCTTTTCCTCTTCTTTCTTTCCATACAAACTTCAGGCGGAAATAATGAAAATCCATTTTTTCTTTCAAGCAAAGATTTCCAACAATTTTTTTCGGTAAAAACGCTGAATAGCTTTGAATTGAAAGAATTTAAATCAAATATATTTCTATATAAAAGCTCTTCGCTCAAATATATTTGTTTGTATATATGTTAGCTATAGCTGGCCAAACGGATGGGCGGAAATTTTTTGAGGGAACCCTAGAGTACCGCGGGGGTAACATCGGCTAAAAAATTTCGAATACTTAAAAAAAATTTTTTTTTTTCTTAGATCAAAATCTGTTTGCAGGCAACATATATTTTGAAGAATGTGGGAAGCAAAACATTTGGACATCAATTATCAAGTTTTTCTTAATTCAGCTTCAATCGAATTTGTACAAAGCTTAAAAATCTGAGCAACAAATTCTGTGAAATCAGTTTTAACACAGCCAGGAATTTTTGTATTGAATCTACGGATTTAATAGGATTCATTGACTTAACCGAATATCGTCCCATTGATTGCAAAATTTGAAACGAAGGATTACCTCAATTAAATCAAATATGATTTTCAAGGAAAGGTTTTAATCCATCAATCAAGAAGTTTGACAAACCTTTCTCTAGGGACTACAATCCCCATGAAATGGTTCTCGGTTCTAAACTAACTAGAAGAAGTTTGACAAACCTTTCTCTAGGGACTATAATCCTCATGAAATGGTTCAACAGTTCTAAACTAACTAGGGTCTACAATCCTTTTGAAATGGTTTGACGGTTCTAAACTCACTAGGGTCTACAATCCTCATGAAGTGGTTCAAGGTTAAGAACTCACTACCACTAGGGTCTACAATCCTCATGATTATAAAAAGTAATTCATTGGATATATAATTCAGCCGTAGAACTCCAATCCTTAGCCAACCAATACAAAAAAAGGCGTTGCATCAATGACATTTTTCAATATCTCAGTAAATAATGGTGCTAGCCGGTTCTACTTTTGCATGTATACTCATCTGATGCTNGGAGCCATCGGAGGTACCTTATCCTCGGAGATATTACAGATTTGACTATTTATCCTGTTCCTAGAATATCAGATTAGTATATATGCAAAACTAGAACCAGCTATCACTATTATTGATAATAAAACTCTAAAGAATTTAAAAATTAGTGGGAAATTTTTTTGGGACGCCCTGCAGGGGGTGATGTGAACATTTTTTTGAAAACCGCCTTTTCTAAAAAAGATTCATAATAGTTTTTAAAACATTTTCTGTACCCTTTCTCTTTCGTTATTTTTTATCGGAACACCCCCAAAAAAGACATTTAAAAAAAATGAAAAAATGACGTTTTTTGACACCCTGTCTTGGCAAAAAAAAACATAATTTTTGAAAAAAATTTTTTTATTAAATTATATAGGTCCTTAAGTGTATGTGTGTTGAATTTGGGCTCTGTAAGTTCATTAGGGCCGGAGATAAAAAATCGGAGCCGACGGAGGTACCTTCCCATATATCCGGTCTCCGAACGGAGACATTGAAGATTTGATCTCATATCCTGTTCCTAGGGCATCAGATGAGTATACATGCAAAAGTAGAACCGGCTAGCACCATTATTTACTGAGATATTGAAAAATGTCATTGATGCAACGCCTCCTTTCCAGCTCTGGGTAAATTTAACCTTTAAGGCGCAGGTATTTTAGGATTCGTGAATCATATATCATGTTTTAATCTGCACGCGCATAAGAAAGAAAACAAGCACTTCTTTATCTCCATTCCGGGTAAAGCAAGGGGAATAATTAAAAGCGTCCTTGTCAGTCCTTCCTTAATTTGAATTTACTTTGAACTACATGAGGGGTATTTAATTTCAAAAACTATCCCCCCCCTCCCGGGGACAGGATGATTTCAGATGAACTTGAAGAAACATGAGAGATAGGACACGACACCAAAAGGCAATTTTTTCATTCTTTAGAAACTTTTTTATCTATTTTCTCCTTAAAAAGATATTTTATTTTCTGAAATTTAGCGAATAAAACCCTAACTTCTGTTGGTAAAAATGTGGTTTTCGAGGTAGGTGTCCTTGTTTTTTGAACAAAATATTCACCCCCTATACTCCCTTTACTTCGTCGTTTTGGAGTTAATTTATCATTATTTATCCCTGGACTGCAGCAAGGTTGGGTCCACGGCAGATTGCAATTTTTGTAAATTTTCATCTTCTGATTCCGAGGTAGACATTCTTATCTGAAATAATCTCAGCTCAATAATTTTGTACCTAAAACTTTACGTAAACAAATCAGGTCAATAAACCGAAAAGCCAAAGAGCATGTCGAAATTTAAAAAAATGCCTAAAAATGTGCATATTTTAATATTTTAGAAATCCAGTCAACAAATTCTGTGAATTTCTTTATCGTTAATCTAAAATGTAGTAAAGGCTTGCTCGGCTTGCAGAAGGTTGGCAGTAAATATGTGGTTGCATGGACTATAGGAACGTAGACACCGGAAACTTTAATTTTTAAGATTTCAGTGGCTATGATTCAATACTCTAAAGAAATATCTACAGAGCCCGCTACTTCCGATTTATTTCATGTTATTTTCTTGCAACTGTATGCTCAATTCAATAACAATTTAAATTCTTTCTCATCGCAATATTTTTTTTCAGCGTAAACGCACAAGTTTCCGATATAAGAGGCTGATTTTTATAAAAAGTTCAAAACTGTAAAGAATATGGTTTGTCATTTAAAGAGACTGACAGTGTAATTTCAAGTGACCCTCCATGCAAAGATGGCTATGCTCGATTCACAATGGTACCATTGAATTAGTTATCTTTCAAAAATGTGAAAGATGTTTTTCTAGTTTTTTTTAAGTGTAGAATTCTGATAGCTTCTATTTTTTCTGCAATAGAAATGCGCATATCACTTACATAAAAAATCATCAGTTTTTAAAATTACAAACATCGATTTCAATCTCATGCTTAATCAGACAAAGCTTTAAAGAAACCCGTTGTCATAATTTCATTGATGGTCATTGTTTACTTAAAATAACGCTTACAGTCCTTTAGGGAGTGTTGAATTACAGTGCGAAAAACAACTACTTACCGTCGTTAACATTTGACATTTTTATCTTAAGTAGTTCAAATGTCATAGAACTTGACAGAATTTATTAATTTCAAGCTCTACATTTTAAAATTGTATTCCTATCTGAAATGAGAATTCATTCTTACATTCATAACTTTCCAAAAAATTAGTTTCATTTATTTATTCAGTAAGCAAGATATGTACAATGCGAAAACATGGTTAAGAGAAAACACATTCAACTAGTTTGTAGATGGTGTACACTGTACATGAGTAGAAAGTAGCACATCTAGAATAGTTAGTTATTACAACTAGTTTAATACAAACTAGTTTCAACTGTAAAGCTAACTGGAATTTAGCCAAACTACATACAACTGTTGAATATTCGCGAAATTAGGGTTTGGGAAATAATCTCAGAGAAAAAAATTATTAAAGAGTCGGACCGGAAAAAAATACTAATTTAAATTTGTTTATATGTTACATTTAGATGTATGTAGATATTAGAATTTACAAGCCAAGAAGAAACTTGAAATATCTGTATTCAAGCTGAGGCATCAAGCACCATGTTTATAAAAATACTAAACATTGCAGTTCAACGTACATTAACTGGGTTCACAAAATGCCGTTGTTTAAAATGCATTTTTTACTATTTAAACTTAGAATTTTGCTGCAATAAGTTTCTTGAATACTGTCAAGCAAACGAGAAATAATCCGGATATCCGGGATGTTAAATCAGGATAACATTAAAATGGTGGTGATTTGTGAACATTTAAACATTTAAAGCATTGTGTTGCTAGAGGTACTTGGAGAATGATGAGTCATGTTGATACTAAAAAACAATTGTACACGAAGGATTGTGTACATGATTTACATGATAACACACTTATTTTCCTCGGCCTGCCTAGCGGCTAGAACACTACTGCCCGCATCCCCGGAGAACTGCCTGAAAACAATAGAACCGTAAATATTTGGCAGAAAAAAATTATGGTTTTATTTTCAACAAAATCCACACAAAATTTACTAAGAAAACCTAGAACAGAATTCAAATTTGAATTTTTACTTGCATCTTTTCTTTTTAAATAAAGAAGAATTTAAAATGGTAGATACTGATAATATTTCTTCTCTTGGAAAAATGTTTAAAATAAATAAAATAATTTGTTAAACTTACAGCCTGGATCCTGTAACTTGTTTCTCCCAGGTAGTTTCCCTAGCAGCAATCTCCTCACCCTCCTTGTTCACTAGCACAGTATTCACCTCATCCTCTCCCATCTTCCAGGCACCAGACTTCATCACCAGCTGCCCAGATCCTTCACACAACATTTTACAATCAAGCAATTCTTCAGTCCACCAATTTACCATGCATTCCATGCATTCCATCAGCCAGCCAGCCAGCCAAACCACAATCTAACTACCATCAACCAAAGTACAATCAACAACCCAATCCTACGGATAAAGTAAAACCCGAATCCGATAATTTTTAACCAGTAGTCCAATGACTACATAATCAATCCTTAACTTCATAAAAAAATCATCTCTAATATTTGTTTAGATAGTAAACGGATCTACTATTAAACAAGGAGCTGATTAAGAGGATGTATGGGGTAGAAAGTTTTATGATTTGTGTGCATAAGTTCACAAGATATTTTATTCCTCCATAAACTGAGTATGAGGATTGGGTATAAGAATACTAACCAACATCATGGTCTACCCCACTATCTGAGCTCCAGACCGTGATAGCTCCTCCTGGAGCAACCTTGTGGTTCCTGGTAAACTTGAATGTGGATTCTACTCCAGCACTCTGGCACTTGAGAATATGTCCAGCTAGGGTCTCCTCTTCATCCCCAGTATTAGTGATCTAGATAATATTATTACTTATTTGCATAACTTTAAGAAAATATTTTCTACCTTGAAACTATAAATATATATTACCGTGATACAGTTTCTAGACTCCTCCAGGGGTTCGATGAGGAATACACCGGGCTGGCTGAAAGAGGTGTTCATCTTAATACCTAGACAATACATCATCTATATTGAGGATTAAAAGGACTGAAAATTAAATTTTATATGACTCCATTTTTAAAGTTGCATGTCCGCTTCACACGGTTAACCAAAACCCTCATAAATTGAAAGTTACTGGCAGTGCTTAGGATCCATTTAATTTTGATGCGGAACCGGATACGGATACTGGATCCGCAATGGAAGAAAGAAGAATAAGAAGGGATTTAATCCAGACTTGAAAGATTATCCATAAAAATGATAATATTAAAGAAGGTACAAGGTTTACAAGGTCTGTAGACACAGCTCAACGAGAAACGAGATTTTCAACATGCAATATGAACTTCAACTCAACACTATGCAATCTAAATATTAGGAGAAACTTCTTTAGCTTGAGAGTTATTAAAAGATTGAACAGTTTGCCAATAGTCATTAAAAATGCCACCTCATTGATTAGTTTTAAGAATATGTATGACAAACATATTTCTTCAATGTGTTAGATGTCAGGGGCGACGAGATCCCAGGTGAAGGTGTCAGGGACGCCAAGATCCCTGGTTTAACTTAATGCACTATCAGTAGAAACAAAAAAGATATATTGACTCGCTGAAAATGTCACAAAAGTCATCTCCCAGCGAAAAATTTACAGTAATCCAGTAATGGATACGGATCCAGATCCGGATCCGGATCCTGGTCATTTCTAAAGATTTACTGAACAAAAAATAATTTTCAAATTTGTTGTTTTATTTGTTTCGCTTATTTTTAACCTAAAACTTGATGAACCATTAAGAAATGAGGAAATTTTTATAATCTCTCTTTTTTTCAACAGTTCAGATTTGGGGTTTTAAGAGAAGTTTTTTTTTTTTGCAGTTTTTGGTTGATCCCTTGGATCCGGATCCAGAAAGCCAAAATCTTGCGGATCCAACAGATTCGGATCCTAAGCACTGGTTACTGGAAATTACAAAGGCAGTCCCTTTAAGTCGAGTCAGCAGCAATCTTCTTAAAATAAACTAATTACTTCGCCTTTAAAACACCCATGATTCTTAATTTTAGTTTTGAAAAAATTAACTTAATAAATAGCAACTGGCAAGTATTGCAAAGTTTTCTCCGAAACTTGAAAACCTTTCTCCAGTTTCATGACTCCTCCAAGTTTTAACACTGTTTTCATTTCTTGTTCCTTGCGACTTAATCGACTCGTACTTATCGCTTGATTATTAAGAAATATATGACCTCAAGTACAAGTATACAGTAAAGGGGAGGAATATAAGGAACTTGCTGAATTTATTAAGTAAATACAACTACTCACCAACATAACTCTCTTCAATATCCAACCTTTTCCTCTTAATTCCTCTGCCTGGTTCTCTACTATCCGGAGATAAACCCAACCTAGTCTCCTCTCCGTCAAGAAGCTTCTGGTAGGCTGCTATCTCCATATCCAGAGCTATCTTGATCTCCAGGAGCTCTTGGTACTCCTTAGTCAAGTTGTTCAACTGTTCGTTGAGATAATCAATCTCATGATCCTTCCTGGCCATATCAGCACGATTTGCTCTACCCAGATCATCTATCTGATCCGTCAACTCCTTGATCCTACGGTTTAGAGCAGAATTGGTGGACTCAAGTTCACTCACTCTGCTCGTCATTCCTTCAACCTTGGTCTGCATCTCCTTCATCTCCTAAACATTGTTTGTATTAAAACATAATGTAATTATTCAACTACGGAGTAACTGAGACACCTGAGGCACAGCAAGAATGAGGAATATAGTATTATTTCACGAGCAGAAACCACTAACATTTGCCCTCGGGCGAAGTTATTCGTGGTACCGAGATTTTAAATGAATCGAGTCAATTAAGATTTAGTCAACATTTTATACAAGAACTTTAAACACCTTGAAATCTCTTCAAATATTGTAATTTCGACTGCTGAATAAAATGAAGTATAAACCTGGATAGCACTAGCCGCTGCTCCTCTCTCCCCTGACAACTTAGCGTTGAGGTCATTAATCTTCTTGTCGTAGATAGCGGTGAACCCGGCCCTGTTATCCAACATCTGCTGCTCGTAGGATTCCCTCAGCTCCTTTAGGGACTGAGATAGTTTCTCCTCGTACTGGTTCTGAACCCTGCTGTCCACCTCCTCTATCTCAATCTGCTTCCTAACCTTGGTATCGTTAAGCTGCTGCTCAAGAATATTTTGGCTAAATGCGTTCTCTTCCTGCATGGTGAGAAGCTGGTTCTGAAGATCTATTCTCTTCAAGGTTTCATCCTCAAGCTTCTGACGGGCGTCCTCAAGCTTATCTGCAACAATAAAAGGTACAGTTAAAAACACTAAATGTATTTATCAGACTTGAATCCTAATTCCAATCCTTATATATGAACATGTTTAATAATGCCAGAGCACGCGATTTAAAAAATTCAAGAACATACGACTCAGGTAATAGGTCTAAGCTGTCGTTGGGCCATATTTACGGCTTGGGCTTTTGAATTTAAGTTGCATCTAATTTTCCACAGAGTTGAGTTCTAAAACCGGTTTAATATCAAATTTGGCGGATTTTAGTGTTTTGAATTGGCGCATTCCAGATTTTGATGACAACCGTTCTCATCAGGTTTTGATGAGTACAAGAAACAGTATATAAATGCATAGAATATGTCACAAATTATGTCTGCCACACTTGACATCACAGCTCAGAGAACATGCCACGAAAAGTATTTAAATGCATAAATCTGTCACTAAAATTATCTATAAGCTTAAAATCTGCACAAAGTAGAGCTAATGTATAAAAAAATGCCACAAGCTATACCCAGACATATTAAATCTGCCACCAGTAATTGAAAGGGAAAATAATGCCACATCTGCCACAACTCAGAAAATGTGCCACTAACAGTATTTAAATGCATGAAATCTGCCATAAACAGTAATTAAAAGTATAAAATGTGCCACAAATAATGTCCTGCCACATAAAGTCTGCCACACATGCCATCAAAGATCAGAAAATTTTCCACAATCAGTATCTAAATGAATAAAATCTGCAACTACAATAATCATAAGCTGAAAATCTTCCACAAATTAATGCTCACACATAATATATGTCACAAGTTATACAAGACACATAAATCTGCCACATATGCAATCGAAGAATAAAACAAAGCTCAGTAGATATAACACAAAAAGTTTTTTTTACATAAAAAGAGGATCAAAATATAAAAAGTATGCCACAAAAAAAACACTTTAAAGCATAAATTAATAACCCCCAATGATATCTGAACACTTTAAATTTGCCAATGTCACTGACAGTAATTAAAACAAACTGCCACAAAATATTTTTTGGCAAATGAAATCTGCCACACATGCCATAAAAGATCAGAAGATATGCCACAAACAGTTTCAAGATGCATAAAATCATCTGCAACAAAACCTATCACTAGGCCTAAAATATACCTCAAAATAATGTTAACACATAAAAAATGCCGCAAGTTATACTCTGGGTTTCCTGGCACAAAAAATCTGTCACAATAATAGCTATTAAAGCTCAGATAATATGCCATCAACAAATAACTAGAACAAAAAAAGCTTCAGCATAAAATATAGCCCACAAAAATTTAAACTCTGAAGAAAATGCCACACAAAAAAACACTTAAAATCTGCCAAAAATTCATAAATTATGCCACAAAAAATAACCGAAAGCAAAAAATATGCAGCATATTTCTATAAAAAATGCCACAAAAAATCTGCCAGTCATGCCATTAAAGCTCAGAAGCCACAAGAAGTATCTAAATCCATAAAATATGCCACAAATTATAATTAAGCTCAAAATCTGCCACAAACTAAAAGGAAACACATGAAATAATAAATGGGAAAAAAAACAATGCAAAAATTTTGGGGTTTATATTTTTTGTAACCCCTCGGGTCTCATGAGTCTCACAACTAATAAACTGTAAAAAAAAAAACATTTTTATGTAACAACAAATTCAATTAAACTTCTAGATTTGGTAACAAAACAGTAAAAAAGGTAAAAAAAAACACTGCGACAAAAGGGAAGCACTACACCAGCTACAAAATTCCTAGATGAAACCCTGTAGTAGAGCCCAAGATCTCGTAGCTGTCCATCACATGACACAAACTGTCGTCAGAGTTGGGTCTTAAAGCTTGGTTTAAGGAATTACGATCCGAGCCGAAGATTTTAAATCGCGGGATCAGGAAATTAACTATTTTTAGGGTGAAGGGCTTTGTGAGGAACTTGATGAATATTTGATGTTTTTATGAATATGTCATATTGTTATACGTATTTAACTAAAACGAATTTCCTTTATTGTATCTGTAGCATAATTCCGCAAGTTACAATAACAGAAAAACATCATATTTAAAAAAATCTGTTTTTCAAGAGAAGAATAAGGCTTTGTTCCGATTAAAGTTTCAAGCTTACAGTTGAAAATCGGACATGCCACTTTATAAATGAGGGGTTACCAGAAATTACGTCTCCAAATCCCTGAACGGTGTTGACGTATACACCGATTATTTTTAATCCAATGAAATTATCATTAAAAAAATAAAACCTACTTTTCATATTCTCGAACTCAGGTTTAAGAGATCGGACTTCATCCAAAGCTGCCTCAGCCTTGTTTCTGAGATCAGTGTTCTGTGTCTCCAGATGTTTGTTGGATCTACTCAACCTGGAGATCTCATCTTCCTAAATAGATAAAGAACAACTTTAATATCGGATACTGTATCATCCAACAAATATATCATGATATTAAAGTTTATTATCTTATGGTAAAAATCCAGTCGAGACGGACAGAAAGTTTAATTATGAATTAATCACGGTGATATCTTTTTACCCGATGATTTCATGAATATAATATATTATTTGAAATAAACTACTTTATTTATCCAAACTCTCAAAACTTGGTTATTTTAAATTGAGGACACTATATTTAAATCAGTTTTAAGGGTTGCAATGATTGACCCTATTAATTTCCAAAATTGTATTTTTTTTTACAGACTTAAATAATGTTTTTGGATCAATTGATATCTAAAACGTGAGGAATTAAAATTTCACAAGTCTGATTTCGCAAAGTATTTGCTGGCCCCTAGTTTCCCTAGATAAGATATCCCGTTTTCTACAAAATTAAATTGTTTACAGAACACCATGAAAAATCTATTAATCAACAATTAATGTTACCTTCTCCTTAAATCTCTGTTTTATCTCCCGGCACTCCGTCTTGGCCTTCTCTGCGTCCATCTCCAAGCGCGCCTTCTCCTTCGAGGTATCGTCCAGGGCACGACGCGCGTGTGCAAGCTCCTTGTCGTAAGCAGAGCGCATAGTTGTAATTTCCCTGGTACTCGTCTCTTCAAATGAAAACATCTACAATCAGAAAAAAAATTAACAATTGTTATATGTATATATATTTTTATTTATTTTTTATATTTTTCAACTTCACCTGTTTTTCCAGTTTTCCATTTTCAAGTTCCAGACTACGCACTCGGTCGATGTATGCAGCGAGACGATCGTTTAGATGTCCCAGTTGTTTCTTCTCTTCGGTCCTAGTGTACATTATGTTCAGTACTTTTGCAGAAAATTCATTTGAAAGAAATAAAATTTCGAACAGAGGAAATAAAAACAGTGAAAAATATTTTTTAAACTTAAAGGGACTGTAAAGGAAAAATAAAGGGGGTATAGGATGAAAAATATACGTACAAAATTGCATATATATATGAATTTTTGTATAAATTTGACACAATTTCTCTAGACAGGAACATCAGATAGATGTTTTATGTATCGTTCAACTCCCGAGATTCTCAGGTTTCATCCTATACCCCTTTACAAGATAGACAAATTTCCCAAATTTTAATCCAACAAAAGAAACTAAGCTTTAAAATTTGTTTAAGTCGTTAAAGCAGGCAAAAAAGAAGCCTAGTTTATTTTAAGACCCCCCCCCCATATCTTACATTTTAAGATTAAGATTATACAAAATCAATTATAACCTGGATATTTTAGTAGGAGAAAGGGGGGAAGTATCTCGCTCCTTCTTGAACGTGGATCCCGAAGTAGGTTCCTTGGCAGAGGATCTGCTGCTCCGTGACGCCATTTTCCCTGAAAATTTAATAAATAATTAATAATACAAGGATATTAACAAACATACACAACACATATCACAGTGAGGCTGAGGATGACTTAAGATTGGAAATTAGACCTGGACGACGTCTTCTCGTGCGACCCATGGTGAAATCTTTGAAGAATAAAAATTTTGCGTATTTTTGATTTAAAAGTAATTTTGCGGATTTCTAAAAATAATTTGAGGATTTCTATTGTCAAGATTTTAAAAATAAAATAACGAAGATATTCTTTAAAATCTCGTTTTAAATGTCATAACAATCTCTTAATAAATAAAGCACAAAAATTAACACATTTGGTAGAACAATCTTATTACAAACATTTTTGGTCTATGCTATTTGAGCAAAAGTGCAGTTTCACTGAAATTTTGATCGCTGAAATCATTTATTCTGTGTTGCCCCAATATATTTTTTTAAATGTAGATTTCCTTGTATAGTGAAGGAAAGGATTTTAAAGGATACAGGGTTTTAGTTTTTAGGAAAATTATACATCCCAACTTCAAAATTGATAAATATTATTTGATTAAATCCTGTTTTTAATATTAGGCTCGGTCCTTTGGCTCCTTGTAGGGATAATCTAGATACTCGAAAATGTCCTGCTCTGAGGAGACAGGGAGGGGCTCCCCAGCCACGCCCTCCTCCAGGGGGCGGAGACTATACTCGTTCAAGGTAAACCCCTAACCAACCATATTATCAATTTAAGAGCAATTTTTCAGCATTATTTTCTACTGATATTTTTAAATATACGCGTAGGAGAAGGGGGTCTGGGAAAAATCGAAATAACTACAATTCTTACATAGTTAGGAAAAATAAAGTTAAATAATTTTTCTTTGAAATGGCGGGAATATCCATTGACCAATCGCGGTTTAGTAGTAGTGCAAAAACATTGCAAAGATTGTAAAATAAGAAATTAAAAAAAACTATCTTAGATTAATGATTTTAGAATAGTAAAACCTTTTTCCAAAGCTAATTATAGAAGATTGGGTGCGATAAACCAAAAGATTAATAAATCTCCATCAAAGATGCTATTTCAAGTGACCCTAATCTACAGAGTGGAATATCAAATTCACAACGGTACATTTAAAGGCTTTAATTGAATTAAGTTTTGTCTCTGTAAACAAAATTTATTATTTTTATTTCAGTTTCTCTATAAAATTAAGTATAACTCCAGTGAAATTGCTTATTTTGATAATATTCCTTAGATAGCGCCCAGGTTCGCATTTTCTTATTAAATACATCACTTCCGGTGAAATATAGAATCCCACAGTAGTACTGGTTCAAGGGTAGAAGACGTATATCTAACCTCCTAAACAGAATTAGTGTAGGACCTGTGACCACAGGGGTGTATATTTTCCGAAAAAATCATTTCCCCCCTTTAAGATAATAATTTCCCCCTAGATGTTATAATTTTTTAAAGTTTTTTTTCCACTGAATTGGGGAAAATAAATGATTTGTCCGGAAAAATAAATGATATTTTGGGTAAAAAGTATCAGAAATCATTTATACCCCCTCCCTAGCCCCCATAGCCCCTTCCCCTGAATAGAATCAGAATGAGAATCATTCTTAAATTACCTATAGTGATCATACTGTTTAAGTTTACAGACACCCATGAACTTTGTTTCCCCTTCAGATATTCTTTCAGTGATTAGACCCTCTTTTTCCAGTCTGTCCACCACCCTACAATACAATATTCGACTGTCGGTGATTAGACCCTCTTTTTCCAGCATGTCCACCATCCTGCAATACAATATTCAACTGTCCTGTCGCTGATTAGATCCTCTTTTTCCAGTCTGTCCACCACTCTTACAATACAATATTCGACTATCCTGTCGCTGATTTGATCCTCTTTTCCAGTCTGTCAACCACCCTACAATACAATATTCAACTGTCCTGTCGCTGACTAGATCCTCTTTATCCAGTCTGTCCACCACCCTACAATACAATATTCAACTGGCCTGTCGCTGATTTGATCCTCTTTATCCAGTCTGTCCACCACCCTACAATACAATATTCAACTGTCGGTGATTAGATCCTCTTTATCCAGTCTGTCCACCACCCTACCATCAAATATTCAACTGTCGATGATTTGATCCTCTTGTATTCATTCCGTCCACCATCATAAATACAATATTCAACTGACGGTGATCAGATCCTCTGTTTCCAGTCTGTCCACCACCCTATATAATTCAACTGTTGGTGATTAAATCCTCTTTTTCCTCTGCCCACCACTCTACATTCTACAATGTTATGTCTAGTCATGCTTATTGGATAAGTTTGAACAATAATTGCCTTTTATGGCTTCAAGACTTAAAAACTGAGGGGAGGGCAATTTTCGAAAATAAAATTATCCAAATGACCAAAAAATTCTCAGTTAAAGTTTCCCTTTTATTACTGAAGATAGTCTTTGCCAAAAATTCAATACTTTTTGCGGTAAAATACCCATCAAAATTGGGCATTCACTTTATTTCTAAAATGCTTGGGGAAAGTCAAGTTGATGGTGGGCGGGGGATTTAATTTACAATAACTCTCTGACTAGTACCTGTGGAGAAGGTTTCCATGATGTTTGTCTGCATGTTTAAACTGTTTGTGTGTCAACAAAACATCAATATCTCCGGACGTGGCCGTCTCTCTTCTGCAGAACGTTTCGTTAAAAAAAAGTCTAAATTTTCAAATGCAACCCCAATGTGTATGCTTTATACTGCATAGTGTAAATGGTCGGATCTTCAAACCCCTAGATTATAAAAAGAGTAACCTGTCTGCAATTATAAAAATAATTTTTATTCTTATCTTCTGAGTAAATATCGCCCAGCAAAACTTCATGCAATTGCCCATTACATAAATTAAAAGGAAATAGTGAGAAATGAGAAGATGGGATTTAACAACTTATAAAATATTTGTTAAATTGAATCAGTTCCGAAATCTGTCCGTTCCTATAGCTTCCACATACCGTTACAACATAGTCTTGGTCCAACTTTTTCAGGATTTTCTCCATTTCATTAAAAATTTTCGTAATCTCGGCTCGTGGGATTCGAAGTTCGAAATCTTCGAAATGTTTGAGTCCTATTTTTTGAGCGTGATTGAGTTTGATATGCTGCTTTTTAAGCTGCTCTAGGTTTGTTATTCCAGCGTCAAATAATTCTCGAGCTTTTGCGGGACCTGTTGTAAAAAACTAGTTTTTCATTAATTTATTTTAAAAAAATCAAAACCAAGAAAAATGGTGAAACTTAACCAAACTATTATAAGTCAACCAGTAAAAAAAAAAATTTTTTAATCATTTTCCTGGGGTTTTCCCACAAAATTAGGGGATACATGATTAAACTATTGGGTTTTGTCGGGCGGGGGTTTATTGTACATATGAGAATATAAATAAATTTCTTTGGGATCAATGATTGTCTTCAACGTAGGAACAAATCACAAATAGAAAATTATTACCTATTCCTGAAACTCTGGTCAGTAAATTAATCGCTACGGTCGAATCATCTTCTCTGATATTCTCAAGTTTTCGCAGCTTCCCAGTGTCGATCATTTCGTCAATCTTCTCAGCAATCTTCTTACCGATCCCTGGGAGTTTAGCAGCGTCAGCTCCGGATGTCAACCTTTTTAAAGCATTTTTGAAAACTTTCCTTCAACTATATTTGATAACTCCTTTATTTTTAAAAACTCTCCCAAGTCCTATGTCAGATGTAGATATATAACTACGTACTACTTTCCCCTCAAATTTGCTATTTCTAGATAATAAAGCTCGTCGGCCTTCGCTGGTATATTCCTAGAGAACGATTAGGACAGGCTAGGGGGCCGAGCGCTGAGGCCACATGTCTTCCATTATAGATCGTTCTCTAGGAAATTACCCATTTGTTTGTATGTATATTTGTCAGTTATGCTTGCCAAACGGCTGGACCGAATTGGCTGACATTTTTGAAGGAAACTGATCGAAGCCCGGGGCGTAAAATTCGACATTTATCCCAGGGTTTTCCAATTTCCACGGGCAACGCCGGGCACTTCAGCTTGTAATACATTTAAAATGTATAACTCATCTTAATCTCTGTCAAGTGAACGTTTATGAATTATCCAACCTGTAATCAAGACCAGATACAACCGTAGCAGCCTTTCTATACGCCGCCGATTTGAACTGGTTCCGGTTTACATTCTTCTCCCACTCCGCCAGCTCAAGCAGGGCGGAGCTAAAATCAGAGTTTAGATTCTCTCCGCCACTCTTACTAGACTCCGCCTTACGCTTCAAACTCATTCTTTCTATGAACAAAATATAAAATATTTTTTAAAAATGTCACCTAGTGTTTTTTGTAATACAGTTTACATTAAGAAAAGAAAAATTAATGTAAACAATTATTTAACTGCATCAAAAAGAGTGACAACAGCATGACTTGTCACTCAAACAACGAACATTTCACAAATTACAAAGAAAGGGATCGGACGTTGCCCGTCTGAACAATATCAATGAAAAATGTTTTAAAAGTAAGATTTCTTCTACAATAAAAAGCCCGCCATGTTGTTGGAAATATCCTCTAGAAAAGATTAGAAAGCAAGTATTAAAAGTTAGTGGTTCAAATCTCCAGGTGTTACGAGATACTGGAGAAATAAATAATTAATTCACAGTCATACCGGTATTGGCGTGTGTACACATAACACATTCCTCAATTTCAGAGTTGGCTGTTAGAACTTGGGTGCGGAGTTTGTCACGGCATGGGTCCAGTCTGCGCAGGCGCAGTTTAAGCCGGGAGTTTACGCTTAAATGACGTCATAACTGACAGTGACGTCACTGTGTACCTGTTCTAAATTCACCGGTTAAATGTGAAGTCATATGTATTTAAACTGAAGATTAACGGAAAAAGGATTTCGATTTTCGAATGATCTAAAACGATTTGTGTGGAACGTAAATGCAGAGAGATGGATTGAACAGTGTTGTGGATTAGAGAGATGGATTGAACAGTGTTGTGGATTAGAGAGATGGATTAAACAGTGTTGTGGATTAAAGAGAGATGGATTGAACAGTGTTGTGGATTAATTGAGAGAGATGGATTGAACAGTGTCGTGGTCGTGGATTAGAGAGATGGATTGAACAGTGTTGTGGATTAGAGAGATGGATTGTACAGTGTTGTGGATTAAAGAGAGATGGATCGAAGAGTGTTGTGGATTAAATAGAGAGATGGATTGAACAGTGTCGTGGATTAAAGAGAGATGGATTGAACAGTGTTGTGGATTAAATAAAGATGGATTGAACAGTGTTGTGGACTAAAGAGAGATGGATTGAACAGTGTTGTGGATTAAAAAGAGCTGGATTGAACACTGAACAGTGTTGTGGATTAAAGAGAGATGGATTGAAGAGATGAAATGAAGATCGATGGCATTGATTGAAGAACCTTGGATTGGATTGAAGAGAGATATTGGATTAAAAAGGTATGAATTGAAGAGACCATGGATTGAAGAGAGTAGATTGAATATAGATAAAAGAGGGATGGATTAAAGTCGAACCTTGGATTGAAGAGAGATGGATTGCAGACAGCTGGGTGAGCTCCTGGTGGTGGGGGGGGGGCGGCCCCCCCTAAGGAAATTTATGACATGAAATAAAAAGCATCAATTACGAAAGACACGTACAGTGAAAATAGAATTGAATAAATGACCTAAAATAACCGTTAAAAAGTTTTCTCATCTTATTATTTATACTAATTTACCGGTGAAATTACAGATAGAAAGTAAAAGAATTAAATTTACAGATAGAATAGAAAATAGGAGAACTAAAGTTTACAGATAGAAAAGGAGAACTTGAGTTTACAGATGGAAAGTATGAATTACCATGGAATAAGCCTAGTGTAGAAAACCATGGACTGGGGTTCCTGAATGGAATGTAGGGACTATTTACATGCTACTTACACTGCTTGTGCAGAGCGTGTTAGGCTCATGCAAAGCTGCTTGACTGGGATTCTACATCTAGAGAATCTAGAAGACAGGGAATAGAGTAATGACAAGGCAATTGTGGATCAGCCCTCCTGAGGTTGAGGAGAGGATGAAGAAATTCTCCCAACTCCCCAAGGTGTTGTAACTGACAATCAGGAACGGATCTTTAGAATGGGGCTCCTAGTCATAAGTTCAAAAAAATCTGGACAGGAAACCCGATCCTGCAGAGGGGCTAAATGGATTTAAAACCCAGGATACTAGAAGATATACTGGGAAACCCAACCTCTAGATCTGGAAACTGTAGAAGCAGTATATCTATGTGACGGACAATCTGAGTCCTGAGAAGCAGCCAATCTCAGGAACGGAACTTCAGATGAGATCTGTAATGGATTCTGTATCAAGTATAATGCTATCTATGTTATCTGTAAATATCTTAATTATCTGTTAGTTGACCCTGCCGGGATAGCCCGGTCAGTTTATCCACCTGTATATAAATAAAATTAGTTCAATAGTATTCTTTGATTTACACGGACGTATATCGAGCCTAGAGTTTGGCTGAGAATAGAGAGCCTTGAGTTTTGGCTAGAGATAGAGATAAGTGTGTTCTTTATTAGACT